GGTTTAAGAGCTGCTTCATTTAGCCAGAATCACATGTGACTGTGGTGTGGAATTATCTGCTGGAGGCTGATGGGCTCCTCAGTGGGTACACAAGTGAAGGTCATGACTGCCCCTTCCCTAGAACTCATCAGCAAGGAGGGGTAGTTCTGTAAACTCCTCCCTAATCCTTTACTCTTGATAGACACTATTTTGTGTAAGTCTACTGCAGGCAACTGCAGATGCGTCCATAACTGCACTGGCTGTGGTTTGCCTAGAAGAGAACATTTTATAGCCCTCTGCCATAGAATAGTCCCTTTGTATGCTATGAAGATGTGTTTCTCTCATTGCTAATAAAAAGCTGATTGGCTGATAGCTAGGCAGAATTTTTGAGGCAGAGGAGGATGCTGAGAAAAGGGGCAAAGACAAGGGTCATGAGGAGACATGGAGAGAAGATAAACATGCCATGCTGAAAGAAGGTACTGGCATGTAGCAGAGTGGTAGATAAGGAATATGGGTTAATTTAAGTTATAAGAGCTAGCTAGTAATAAGTCTAAGCTATTGGCTCAACATTTACAATTAAGTTTCAGGGTGGATTCAAGAGCAGTGATGGGAGGAATCAGACATGGGAAACTTCTCAGTTTCATTTCAGGAGAGATGGACGAAGAGGAAGCACATCCCCAGCAGTGGACAGGTCCCAGCAGAGGATGTAAGGAGTTGGCGAGGGAAAGAAGTGAGCCAGGCCATGATGGCTGGGAGAATCTTGCAGCCTGACTAACTAACAGCCTAAGTGCTTCATTATTTATTCAGCATTTAGTAAGTAGGGTTACATTCATGTTGTTCCAAAACATAGGTCATATCTTTTTGTTTTTGGGCACGTTTTTTACTTCCTTTTGCTTATCTTTTAGTCATCATTAATAAACTATGAGGGAACAGTTATCATTTCCAATCACTGCCCTCAAGTTTTGACATCATTGATAAACAGAGTTATCTTTTATAATCAGTCTTGCTCATTAACCCTATAACCCAATTTTTAAGACTCTAGAAGCACATGACAGGATGTTCTCAGACTGGTAGCTTTTGTGGCTACAAGGACACGAGACCAAAACAAAATCCCCAAGCTAGTCTGGGCAGACTGCCATGTCCCAAGCAGTGTATTATTAATTCTTAATGGTCAGAGTGCCCAAGAAATATCCTCAGGCCAAAGCTCCTGCAGTTATTATTCAAATTCTGGCATAATACAATGTTTACATTTTATATCTTCATAATCCTAGCATTTTGTGTTCCTTGGTCATATGACACCATGGTGGCTCTGTATGAGCTAACTTTTCTAAGAGAGGTCCTGACATCACATTCTTTTATCATTTCTACATCATTCTTTGCACATCAGTAGGAGTCTTTGTGTAGGACAGAGGTAACCAGATAATCTAACTTTGTTGCTGTATGTGCCATGAAATTACCTGAGTGTATAGTGGGAAGAGGCTTACAATCTGAACTGTGGCTAACTCCTCTAGCCCACCAAATCTTTTTTTTTTTAATTTTAATTTTTAAATGATCTTTTCTCATTTTACATACCTATCCCAGTTCCCACTCCCTCCCTCCTCCAGGTCCTCCCACAGTCCCCCTATCCCACCCCCTATCCATGCCCCAGAGAGGGTAAGACTTCCCATGGGAAGCCAACAAAGTCTGACATATTTTGAGGAGAAACCAAGACCCTCCCCCCAAATTTAGGCTGAGTAAGGTATCCCTCCAAAAAGAATGGGTTCCAAAAAGTCAGTTCAAGTGCCTGCGATAAATCCTGGTCCCACTGTGAGTGGCCCTACAGATTGCCCAAGTTACACAACTGTCACCTACATTCAGAGGACCTAGTATGGTCCTATGCAGGTTCCCCCACTATCAGTCCAGAGTCAATGAGTTCCCACTAGCTCAGGTCAGCTATTTATGTGGTATCCCCATCATGGTCTTGATTCCCTTTGCTCATATTATTGTTCCTCTCTTCAACTGGTCTCTGGAAGCTAAGTCCAGTGCTTAGTTATGGATCTCTAAATCTGCTTCCATCAGTTGCTGGATGAAGGTTATATAATGACAATCAGGTAGTCATCAATCTGATTACAGGGACAGGCCAGTTCAGACACCATTTCTACTACTGCTTAGGGTCTTAGCTGGGGTCATCCTTATGGATTCCTGGGAATTTCTCTGGTGCCAGGTTTCACACTAGCCCCATAATTAGCCCACCAAGTTTTGTTGAGCTTTTTGAGTTTACTTTGATTATCTAGTCCCTGAGTAAGTACAGGGACAGATGTTTCAAGAATGTCTCACAGTCTCATAAAGAGACCTCTGGCTCCTTTATGTGTGTCACAACCTCCAAAGTGTAAGAAAGACCTTCAAGTAGATAACGGCATCAAGAGAGAGAGAGAGAGAGCGAGAGCGAGAGAGAGAGAGAGAGAAAGAGAGAGAGGGAGAGAGAGAGAGAGAGATGCATGTTCAGGACTGTCCTGGAAAGCTTAGAAGCAGAAGGCATAAATGATTCATAAGAAATTTCCATCAATCCAATATCCCCAAATTGTACAAATATTAAAAGTATCCAAGTATGTAACCAGTGGAGAGGACAACCAAAGGTGGCATGGCAGCTCAGCTTTGGGGGTCTTTGTGAAGCAGCTATGCTGGCTTTATTACTCTTACTGTTCCCATCAGATACGGCTGTGCCAGTACAGAAAATCTGCCTACAGCCCTTCTCCCTATCTTTTAGCTTTCACATTCTTTGTACTCTCCCATAATGTCCCCTGAGCCTCAGAAGGGGCAGTCTAAACTTAAGGTGGAGCACGCTATCATCCGGTCCTCAGCATCTCGAGCAGCTCATGTCTCTGCATTCACTGATGTTCACTACAAAGGGAGGTTTCTGAGAGCTGAGACTAGCATTTGTCTACGGGTATGTGATGGTTTTACTGTCAATTTGCCCCAAATTAGGATTTTTTTTTCGAACTTTTACTGATTTTTTTTTTTTGTGGATTTCACATCACGTACTCTGATCCCATTTATCTCCTTCGCATCCGCCCTCTACCCTTGCAACCACTCCCTCCCAAAACAAAACCAAAACCCAAACAAAACTAAGATAAAAACAAGAAGAATCTTGTGGAAGCTATAGTGTGGCCCGTTAAGACGCAAAGTTTACCCTTTAGTCTGTTCATCTTTACTTGACCGTGTTCATTAGAATTAATCTCCCTGTTAAGATGAGCACCTAGGACCTGTTAGAGACTCTGCCTCAACAAACAACCAACCCTCCAAAACAAAACAGGAAGCATCAAACCACCACCACAACACTTCTACAGATGAAGTTGTGTTCACCAAGCCAGCCCTATACAGGCTACTAAAGAGAAGAGCACATGTATTTATGAGACTGCAGGGCAACAATAGGGGTCAAGCAAAGGAGGACTAAGAAAAAAAGTGATCCGAAATGTCATTTTTCAATAATATAATAATACATTTTCAATAATAACTTTGACTATCAATGGTTCCAGCTGCTCATTCAAGAGGCAGGCTGGATTTATCCCTACTGCTTGTACGGGTTTTGGGGGAACCTATTCTCTTTGGATGGATACTTTGCCCAGCCTAGATATAGTAGGGAAGGCCTTGGCCCTTCCCCAAAGCAATGTGCCTTACCCTCTCTGAGGAGTGGATGGGGGAGGGATGGGAGAGGGGTATGTGGAATGAATGGGAGGAGAGGAGGGAGTGGGAACTTGAATTGTTATGTATAATGAAAAAAGTTGTTTTTTAAATTAAAAACAAACAAAAAAAGAGATTTCAGCTGAGTATAGTGGGACACACTGTTAATTTCAACACTCTGTGAGTTCAAGGCAAGTCTGATATATATACACATACACATATACACACACACATATACCTTGACGGAGGTCATTATCATTTATTACAAAAGATGACAAAGGTGTGCCACTAGGTCTCTGATGAAGAAATCTCGTTTTACAAGGACTGTGAGAAATACAGACTCCAAAATATCTTTTGTGTCTGTCTGTAATTTTGCATGTGCTAAAGTGCATTCTTTCCCTAGCAGCTATGGGGAACTCCCAACAGCCTGTATCTAATGTGTGTGTATCTCGTGAATGTAATCCCAATCTACTGGCATTTTTAACCCGTGGATTGTCAAGAAGGGGGCTCCTCTTCAGCTGTTCTGTCCAATTGATATTAATAATGTTAGTTTATACAGAATTTTGATGAAAAAATGAACACAAAGAGATGCTGCTCAAGTTCTCCTTCAGAACTCTACTGGAACACAGCTCAAGAAAACAGCTGTATTTCCCCAGCTGCCAAGATAGACATATACTATCAACTGATATCAACTTCAAAGTAGCTTTAGATTAGAGCAGGTGCCTTGCTAATGGGCTGTAAGATGAACTGTTCACAGGAAGATACAATCTTATTTACAAGATCCCAGAGCCAGCTGTCTGATTTGTTGAGCCAAGGTAAAAAGTACGAAGCAACTTAACTCTGGTGCCAGGTCTGGCTGATTACCAAGGACAGTGATTAACTCTCTGTGCAACCTCAGTTTTATGGCCTTTGTTCAGATACCATGGGGAGAGAGCCCCTAACTGGCCAACACTGCCAAATATAAACTAACTTCATAGCCGAGAGAGAGAGAGAGAGAGAGAGAGAGAGAGAGAGAGAGAGAGAGAGAGAGAGAGAGAAGAGAAGAGAAGAGAAGAGAAGAGAAGAGAAGAGAAGAGAAGAGAAGAGAAGAGAAGAGAAGAGAAAGAGAGAGAGAGAGAGAGAGTTTCAAGTCTCCCCTTTTTATGGTCAAGGGTTACATGCAGGATATAAAATGCCTTTAATGTCACTGTGCCTTGGAGAGTACTGAGTAAGGTTATCTGCACACGTACCATGGAACACAAAAGCCTACCACACCCAACAACAGTAGATAGAGACGATCAAGATCAGAGCAGAAATCAATTAAATAGAAATGAAAGAAAAAAAAACCGAATCAATGAAATGAAGAGTTGAAAAGAGGAAAAAATATTTATCATATTTTTTTATTTTCAAATGTATGTGTGTGTAGGTAAATGTAAGACAAGGCACATGTATGGAGGTCAAAGGACAACTTGCAGGAGTTGCTTCTCTTCATCCATCATGTGGGTTCCAGGGATTGAAGCTAGGTCATTAGTGCTGGCAGCAAGGGAGCCATCTTACCAGCACTACCAAGTAGATTTCTTTTTTTTCTTCAAGTAATACCCTGCTGTTGGTGAAGGTCTAGAAGATTCCCTCGGTGATGGAATGCTTTACAGCTGGTGGCTCCCCTAGACTTTAGATCCAAGGCTCCCATCCTTCCCAAGTCCGGCCAAGGATATTGGGGTCTGTGGCCTGGTCCACCAAGCACTTCACTTGAGTCTCTTCTGAAAGTCCACTCTCCGGCTCTTGTGCACGAATGTTGTGGTCTTTGTTTCCTCGAGCCACAGCTGTATAACTCCCAAAGGCAGATGAGTTTTCATGGCCTAGATATAACTCGTCACTGGAAAAAGTATTGAACAAATATGAAAACACAAACACAAATGATTTTCCCCCTTGGACCTGGAGAGCTGGTTATCCTTTACAAATAGTCTACCACCATTTATACACTATTTTCTTCCTGCCACTCAAAACTTTGAATTCAAAACATGAGTAATATAATTATTAACATTTGTTTGGAAATTTTTGCTTTTATTTTTCTAGAGCAGACACTTAGAAGTGGAACTGCTGGGTACAGCTTCTTGAGGAGCTGTCAGGCTGTTTACCATAGCAACTGCACTATTTTGCATGCCTACCACAATTACAATTCTCCACATCCCTGCTCACACTTCTCCTATCTCATCTGAAAGTTGTCATTACACACAAGATGCAGAACTTCATTTGCACTTCCTTAATGACTCTCCACACAATTAGTGGCTGTTTGTACCATCTGTACATTTGTACCTCCTTAGAGAAATGTCTGATTCCTTTGATCTTCTTTAGAAATTAGGTTATCAAGTTTGCTTTTATAAAGGATTTTATTTATCGATTTTTATTTTCTTAAGGATTTTGTTTTTGAAAGAAGGTCACATTTTGTTGAGATAGCACTCAAACTTGGTTGTGCTAAGGATGTCTTCTACCTCCCACAGGCTGGGTTTTATAGATTTGTACGACCACAATGGACATTAGAAAAATTATTTTAGAGATTTGTGTCTGTGCTTGTGGGTGCCTCCAAGGGCCAGAAGAGGACATCGGATCCCCTGCAGTTGGAATTCCCAGTGGTTATTAGCTCTATGAAGTGGGACCTGAAACTGCAGTCCTCTAGAGAGCAAGCACTCTTAACTACTGAGCCATCTCTCTACCCCTACCCAGCACTGTGCTTTTAAAGAACTTATAAGCCCTTTCTCAGATACATGACTCATAAGAACTTTGTCCATCTGTGCACTGTCCTAATTTTTAAGAGAAGACTTATTTTTATTTTATGTGTATAGATGTTTTATCTGCATATAATGTGCAACCACGGGATGTCTGAGACCTGAGGAGGCCAGAAGGGGCATCGGATCCCCTGGAACTGGGGTTACAGACCATTGTGGGTGCTGAAAACCAAATCTGGGTCTTTTCTAAGAACAAAAAACGCTCTTAACTTCTGAGTCATTTCTCCAGCCCCACTACTTAGAAAAAAAGAAAATCATCAAAACCAAACTATTTATTTACTTGCACGTCTGTTTGTGCTTATAAAGGCCGAAAGTATCAGATTTCCATGCAGCTGAAGCTAAGTGGCTGTGAGCCGCTCCGTGAGGGTGCTTGGCACTGGACGTGAATCCTCTGGAAGCAGCAGGCACTCATGTTGCTGATTGTTTTTCCAACCACTACATTTTTACTTTACCAGCTCTGGGAATAGAACCCAGGTCTTATGCTTGCCAGGTTAGTATACTAACTCCTATGTTCTTGATTGTATCCTGTACAGCACAGCTCTGAATTCTGAAGTTCAGTTTGTCTATCTTGTTCTTGCTCATGTCTCTGGTGTCACATCTAGCAACGTTAAGTGCCATAGCCAAATTCAATTCAAGACCAACTTAATTTTTTTCTAAGTGTTTAGCATTTAAGTCTGATACATCTTGAATTAATTTTTGCAAGTAATGTGAGACAGGGCTCTAATTTCATTCTCTTGTCAGCAATAATCACTGTACAGACCTGGTACTCATGTTAAAAAATCAAGTCAATTACAGAGCATCTCTTACTACTGCTTAGAATTAGAGTATAAATTTCTTACTTACTAGGAATACTACCTATAAATTTCTATTTGCTTTAGATTTCAATTAAAAAAATGGAAAGGTCAATGCAGCTCAGACTACTATCTGAGAAGCCGACGCTGTGTTCTTCACGAGATCTGGTGCTCATCAGGACCAAATGGGTCAAAGGCCCTAGGAAGTACCAAGGCAAATGGAAATTCCAAGCCTTCGCATACGAGTTTGGTTCTTGCACTGGTGCTGGCTGGAGAGATGCACAGGACAGACAGCACAGGTGTGAGCAAAGTCCTCACAGACCTGGGCTGGAGTGGAAGCCTCCCTAAGACGCACTTTCCCCACTGCACAGTGAGAACTGCCACACCGCTCTCGTGTGTCTGAAAGAGCTTAGCACTTCTGAACGCGCACTGGTTTCGTATTCACAATCAAGTCTTACCAAGTTATAACTGCTGGGTTGGCCCCTGCTAATTTTCTCTTAGCATAGCGTATTTTCTGCTGAGGATACCAGTTCTTCTCAGTTACATTTATCTCTTGAATCCAGGATCCTCCTCTTTTCAGCATTTTCTGCTCAAAACACTAAAGGGAAAGAACATACTTTTCTCTACTAATTATAGCAGTATATACAATTACATTTGAAACATTAAATCAAGCAATGATGCTGAAACAAAGATCTGTAGCAGCTCTAAGCTTTCTAGATAGATCCTGACGTGGGCTCTATGGCTGTGACCTGTGAGGCAGAGACAGGAGAAAGCGTCTCATATAAGTTCTAGGCTAGCTCAGATACAGAGTTTATAATCACCTGCTGTAATCACCACCACCAGCACCAGCACCACCACCACAAGCTGTGTGTGAAGTGAGAACTCAGAGTTACTGTTACCAATGGGTCTATTCTGTCCCCCCCAGTTAGTACCAAACAACAAAGTAATTAAGTTTCCTCCAAACATGTCTGCTTTTGAGAAATGTAACCAAAACAATGTAAATATTTCAGTAAATTCAACTTGATGCATTTTCATCATAAAAACGAAACATGGATGTGTCTATACAGAACCAAAATGTACCTTCCAATCAAAAGAGGGCTCCTTCACAAAAACCTCCATGGTGTCGGTGAGCAGACCTGCGCGTGAGCGGAAAGCCCTCAGGGCATGCACCATGACAGCACACACAAGACCCGTTTCTTTCATTGGTAACATGAGATTGACAAACTGGCGGGTTAGGCGAAAAGGCATCAACTCAGGAACTGGAAGAAACTAAACAGAGAAAAAAGTATATTTAAGTAAATACATTGTGTTGAACAGTTTTATGTCAACTTGACCCAAGCTAAAGTCATCTGAGAGGAGAGAATCTCAATTAAGAAAATGCCATAATAAGATTGGGCCGTAGGCAAGCCTGAGGGCATTTTTAAAATTAATTAATTTATTTTTTAAAAACAATCTTTTCTCATTTTACATACCAATCCCATTCCCCACTCCCTCCCCTCCTCTCATACCTCCCCCTTCCGCATCCATACTCCTCAGAGGGTAAGGCTTCCCATGGGGAGTCAACAAAGTCTAGCACATGAGGCAGGACCAAGGCCCTCCCCACTATATCTAGGCTGAGCAAGGTATCCCTCAAAAGAGAATGGGTTCTAAAAAGCCAGTTCAAGCAGTAGGGATAAACCATGGTCCCACTGTCAGTGGTCTGTGGGCCTTTTCTTAGTCAGTGATGGACGGGGAGGGCCCAGTCCATTGTGGATGGTGCCATCCCTAGGCTGTTGTTCCTGGTAGGCTGAGCAAGTCATGAGGAGCAAGCCAGTAAGAGCACTCCTCAATGGCCTCTGTATAAATTCCTGTCTCCATGTTCCTGTCCTGATTTCCTCCAATGATGCACAACAGTATCTATGCCAAATAAACCCTTTCCTCCCCAACTAGTTTTTGGGTCATGGCTTTTCATCCCAGCAATAGTAACCCTACCTAGGACAGAAGTTGGTACCAGGATACTGGGGTACTGCTGTGACAGACCTGACCATGTTGCTTTTGGAAGGACTGTGGACAGACTTTGGAACTATGGGCTAGGAAACAGCGTGTGCTGTTCTGTAGAAGCCTGGAGTGTGAGAACGCTGAGAGCAGTGCAGACGATGGAGGCCTAACGTGTGAAATCTCAGAGAGAAGTGAAGACTCTACCCAGCCAGTTGGGCTAAGAATCCATGGTTCTGGTTAGCAGGGACTAAAGAGTCAGCTGTGATTAATTAGAGACCAGGACTATTGAAGTTAAACCTTTGTTTTACTAGGACAATTAGTGCTGGTCAGCTGGAGCAGAGAAGTTAGTGGTGATTAAGAAGAGACCAGCCTCTGCCCTAGGACTCTCACTGGAGTGGGAAGAAGCTTGAGCCTGCCCAGCTGAGCACCATTATGGTGGGAGAGCATACGGTGGGGAAATGGAAGAGAGAGGCCGAAAGGTGCATGTGCTGGGGAGAGCAAAGGCAGTGAGGAACTGGCTGACGTGGGTGGCACGCTTGCAACCTGTGACCATGGTGATGTCCGGGCCTGGGCTGCTGCCAAGGGCTATGTCAGGACCCAAGGTCCTGAGGAAGCTGTGGTGGTCTGTGTTGATGTTTGTGGCTCATGTTACCATTGAGGGCCCTGTCGATGCCCGGAGGCTGGGCCAACACCTATGACCATGTCTGGGTGTGAGGGCTGTGCCACCCCCACAGGGGCTATGCCTTGCAAACAGGCTTGTGTTTCCACACCAGATCCGTGGTGATGTCCAGAGCTGGACTGCTGCCGAAGGCTATGTCTGGATCCCTGGCTTTGCAGTAGCCAGGCTCTGTGTTGATACCTGTAGCTCCTGTTGCCACAGAGGGCCATGCAGAGGCCTGTAGTCTGGGATGACACCTGAGGCCATGTGGCCATCAGGGTCATACAGATTTGGGTGGCATGTGCTGCCACCTGGGGAGACATCTGAACCTGAACTGTGGCTGAGGGCCACATCTGGGCCCACGGTCCTGCCACAGCCAGAATCTTCAGTGATGTCCATGGCTACTGCTACTGTCAAAGGTGGAATGGGTGCCCGGGGCAAGGCTGCCACCTGGGACCATGCAGGCACTTGACTGCCATGCTGTCCCTGGACCATGCTGACATGGGTGACCAGTGGTGCCGGCTAGGATTAGGGTGATATTATTTGCTTCTTCAAAAAGTGTCAGGTTTTAGGACCATGCCACCAAAGCCAACTTAACCTATCATTGCTCCGTTAATTAATTTCTGCAGATGTTACAAAGTCACATGATGTGATGGCCAGTCTTGGCTGTCAACCTGACTACATCTGGAATCAGTGAAAACTAAGCTGTTGAGTGCACCTATAAGGGGTCCTCTGAGGTGAGAAGACACACCACATCGGGGCCACACCTGGTGGCAGCCTATACAAAGGGTGTAGAAGGAGAAAACTTGCTTTCTGCCTGTTTGTCGTAGGTCTCACAGCAAGGTCAGTACCCTTTGCTGAGGCATTCCCCTGCTGGTGTTAGAATCTACTTCTCTGGGGTTCTGACGCAGACTGAAGATTAGGAATCTTCCAGGGCTCTAGCACCCGACCAGGACTGCTGAGACATCCAGTCTCCAGGATTGAACAACTACTTGGTTCTTGGCCTTTCTACCAGGAGACAGCCATTGTGGGACTAGCTGAAGCACAGACTGAAGTCATTCTAATGAAACCCATGTATGTATTCACTCCATCAGTTATGTGCCTTTAGAGAACCCTGATGAGAATATATCCCACTTCTAGATCATCAGTGGGCATGAAGGACAACACACCTGAGTAGCTGATCCAAATGCATGTCCAAAGTCAATGCCAATCACGCTGCCCGTCTCCATGGCTACCATGAAATTGCTCAGATGTCTGTCTCCAATACCGAGGAGCCAGTGGCTGATACACAACAGTGCATGAGAGCTGGCGAAGTGGGACCGTAGTGCCAGGAAGGCCTCAGCGCTGGCGCTCATCTTTACAAAAGCCCGCCTAGGAGAGCGATAAACCACATATAGTTTCTGCCATGTCACTAGTGTTTGTGAAGTCACAAATATACTTACTTTAAGAGATCAGCAGGCACTTTATTCTCCCTTTTTCTAAAAGCCATGACTGTTTCTGTACGGTTAGCTCTTCTGTGATTTAAGACAAACATTTCATTAGAACAAATGTCTGGTGAATTTAAAATTATTAATACTAAAATATAGTATCATCTAGGCAGAGCAGGTGGATCTCTGTGAGGTCAAGACTCAAAAGTTTGCATTTTTTAGAAGGATGAACAAATGTAAACCAAAACCAAACTTACTTGTACATTAGTGCATAGGCTCCATTATCAGTTTTCCCCGACATTTTTATTAGCCAGTCTTTATATTCACGAGCTGGTGCATAAGGATCACTAGCAAGTAGGGAAAAGGGAATTAGAATTAAGGAGGTATTCTGTATGGCAAAGAACACTGAAAATTTATTAAAAAACAGTGAAGAATAAATACAACTTTCAATATAGCATTATTCATCTCTAATGACTCCAGGATAAACTCAAACAACTTCCCTATGCGAAAACTCAGACATAATCAAATCAGGTGCAAAATATTTCCCTCTTCATGCAGAGAAAAATAAGATGTTAAAATAAACACAAAAGTCTGTGACCTAGGCATGTCACCCTAAAAGGCAGCCTGACAATAATGCTATCACTGCTGGTAGGCCTCATCTGACCATAAGCCAATCTTTTACAAATCATTCACAAAACATCTGCTTTTCCTTACTTTTTGACTAGTTCCAGATATTTCTTTACCATTTCCCGAATGCAGATACAAATAAAACCCATCTTAGGAATGATAAAGTATTTTCTTAATGCCGGAAAATGCTCATCTTGAATTTGCGAGGCCTTTAGTGACACCGCACAGGTCAGCACTTGTACAGGTGGACACACTGTGGTGTGATATACTTGGTCACTTTTCAGTTTGTGCTGCAGCTTTCCTAATGAGCTTTCAGAAGTCAAACAATTACAAGTTGAGGGGCATGTTGGTAGCTTGCATCGATGATTCCAATCCTGGCACTCAGGATCCAATGCCAGCCTGGACTACACGATGAAATTTAAAAAGCTGTCATGTCCCTTAAATTCCAGTACAGGCAGATCTCTGTGCATTTCCAGGCCACCCAACGTGACATAAGAACACACTACCTGCTATGAGCCACTTTCTCCTCTTTCGACATATTATTGAAAATAAGTTCCTTCAAGGTCATAGTATTTTCAATCCATTCAATTAATCCTAATCTGAAAAATAAAATACAACGTTTCAAATAAGTGCAAACAAATCCCAACTGTTCCTTCTTCATCAGAAAAAAATGTTCTGAAGAATCAAAGTGAAACAGATTTCTTCCTATCCAGTCTCTACTTCCTCACTTACTTTCATGTGTAAATCTAGTTGAGTTCTGTCCACGGGACACTTCCAGCACCCACAGACATACTTCAGGGCTCAGACAGGGTGGGATGTATACCCCGTCCCCTATACATACCGTCTCACTCAGGCCATACCTGGAGGTCATGGGCACGACACGGTAAGTCCTTAACTGCATGTTTCTCTGACTGCAGGCAGCATTCTGAGCGAGGATGGCATTCATGACCTCAAAGAGCTGCTCAATGCGCTGGTCCTGACGGAGGTCCTCGCCGCCTTTTACCAGGAAGGGGTACTCCTTTTCATCATGGCCTCGAATAACAATGCGCTTTGGTCTCCTCAAGGAGGCCATTACTTTTACCTTTAAACATTAAGAGATTTGTTGTTTAAAAGAAAATACTCTAACAAGTGTTGCCTGGCTTAGTTTCTAATGCCTGGGCTCAAGTGGTCCTTCTACCAACTGAGTAGCTGGGGCGACAGTGTGCACTACTGCAGCGGGGAAAAAAAACCAAAAAAACCTTAAAACAGTATTAGAGTAGCTCACCACACCCTGGTCAGGTGCTATGGGCTGAGGCGTCAGGGCCATCTGTCATCTTGAGGGCTGTGCTCATGCATACTCAATATTCTTGGCTACAGACACTGCCTAAAACCATGGATAGCCTTCTCAATATGTGATGTCTATCATAATGGTTTTCTTTTATAAAAGATTAATTCTACACATAACCTACAATGAACATATACAGTTTATACTTCATTTACTACATTTTTCTCTATTTTTGACATTGTAATTTAATTATAATATTTCTCCTTCCCAACCCTCTCATATGCCCCTCTCAACTCTCCTTCAAATTCGTGGCTTCTATTTTCATCAATTGTTATTGCAGCCATATAAGTATTTGTACATACATTTATATTCTTAAACATAACATATGAAGTCCATATAGTGCTACTTGTATATATATTTTTGGGGCTGGCCATTTAGCACTTAACTTATAATACTCTTAAATACAACTGATACTGAAACATAGGAGACATTATCTTTAGGAATCTGATCAATGTAATAATTTGGGAACAAAAGGCTAGCGAGAAGTTGACCAACACATCAAATGTCACAGAGACAAGGATGACAAACACAACATACCCGCTCATCAAATCCAGAGATCCGGACATGATATTCAGGCAATGGCTTGCCCTTGCCATCATACTGGCCTAAAAGAGACACAGCCTCGCTTAGATACCGTCTGTTATAAAACTTCCACGTTTTAAGACATATATGTTGATTTAACAAAATATGTTAATGTAACATGATACTTATTTTTTCTTTAATTCAAAGTTTTAATTTATAAAAACCAGCCATAGCCAGGCATGGTGGTGCACACCTTTAACCCCAGCACTCAGGAGGCAGAGGCAGGCAGATCTCTGTGAGTCCAGGTCAGCCTGGTCTACACAGTGAGACCCTGTGTTAAAACAAAACAGCAACAACAATAAAGAAAGAAAAAGTTACAGCCTTTTTTCCTGAAGCCACTGAGTATAACTACACAGTTGTCAACAGTGAAGAGACTGCTTCTGCCAAGCTTTCTCTTACATTTGTTGAGAAGGGAAAACCAGCCACCAGATTAAAGCGCTCCTTCTTTCTTGGTGTGTGTGGAGGATTCTAGGTTGAGAAACATGGAATAGGAAGAAATTTCTTCTGACAGTTTGCTGCATGTGACATCTCAGTGTCATAAATTGTTTTCCTGTTGCTGCTCTCTTTGAGTGGGACCAGGCATTGCCTCTCGGGAAGCAACCTCTCTACACTTGAACTTATTCCTGAAGAAAAGTTATGGGCAAGCAAAGTAGGAATCAATGATTTGGGGTTACTGTAAATACTAAATGGGAATTCTGAACACCTGCCATAATAAAAAAATATAGTAAACTGTACTAAATCATAGTAATTGTAGGTTTTCCTAATGATGAATATGGTTGGGGAAGACACCGGAGAGATGCCGCAGCAGTTATGAGCAACTGCTGTTCTTCCAGAGAACCTGAGTTTGGTTTCCAGCACCCATGCCACTTGTTTACTCCAGCTCCAGGGGATACAACATTCTCTTCTGCGCTCACATGAATTTACCCCCACAGATACATAACCAAAAACAAATAAATCAAAAAGATGGGCCGGGGAGATGATCCATTAGGTAAAAGTGCTTCTGGCACAAGCACAAATCTCCAGCTCTCATGCAGAAGCCAGGTACAGTAGCTGTGGTTATCTGTGGTCCTAGCTAGCACTCTTGAAGGCAGAGACAGAAGAATGCACAGTACACACAGGCCAGTCAGCCTGGTGTGTGAAAAAAACAAGGTTCTGTCCCTCAAGCACAGTGGAAAGTAAAGATGAATACCTTGGGTTGTTTTCTGACCTCTATATGCATATATGTATGCTACACACAATATATACACCCCTGCATATTCATTCTCTCTCTCTCTCTCTCTCTCTCTCTCTCTCTCTCTCTCTCTCTCTCTCTCTCTCTCTCACACACACACACACACACACACACACACGAGGATTCCAGTGTCATTACTTGGAAAACCAGAGTTCGCAGCATGTTATTCTCCTTAAGGAATGTTCTTGTCACTACTTGTGTTAACTAACCAGGAATCTCCACTTCATTTCCTGGGGACTGCACTTTGAATGCACTCATCCAGGGGGAGTACTCTTTCAGGTTCCCAGGTGGCTTCAGGTTTGTTCTCATCCTTACAAATAGTGCATCAGTGATATCACGGAAGTGACTGGGCTTCATTGTAGGCAGCTTAGAACCACCATTCCCAAAGCTTTTGTCAAATTCTTTCCCGAAGGCCTGAAAATTAAAAATTTACTATTATGAACACTGCTTCCATTGTATATTAGAAAAATCTTTAAGTTTATGAATATTCCATGATTTTAAAACATTTTGAGTATCCCTTTTTTCTGTGTCTTTTCTTCCTTAGGCAGAACAACTCCTAGTTACAAATTCTAATGAGTGCTTCAAAAAAAAAAAAAAAACCTAAAACAAAACAACAACAAAAACCAAACAGATGCTATGACTTTACACATAAAAAATGGTTAAAAACTCCCACCAGAAAACTTCTAGAGCGGATAAGCACTTTCAGCAAAGTATTAGGATAGAGAATTAACACACAAAAATCAGTTGCTTTTCTATATACACATGACAAATGGACTGAGAAAGAATCAGGGAGCTAGAACCTTTCACAATAGCCCCAATATATGTATTTGGGGTGCGGGTAACTTCAACCAAGCAAGTGAAAATCTTGTTGTATAATAAAAACTTTAAGACGTTGAAGAAAGAAATTGAGGAAACCAGAAGATGGAATGATCTCCAATTCTCATCAACTTAAAAATAGATAATGAAAATGGAGTACATTTATACACAATGGAATATTATTGTTCAACTGTTATGAAACATGAAATTATGAGATTTACAGTTGAATAGAAAAAAATCATCCAAAATTAGATAATACAAACCCCAATTGGCAAATACTGTATGTTTTCTCTTAAATGTAGATGTTAGCTTTGAAGCCTTTGACAGGTGTGCCACCATCCATAACTACAGAGGTTAGGTACCTATCTAGGAAGCGGCGACTTGGGGAGCGGGAAGTAGAACACATTGTTACAGAGGGCAGAGGGTAAACTCCAGTAGATGACTAAACAGGGAGAACAGGAGAGAGGGGCAAAGGAGGAGACATGGGAAGAAACAACTAACACTAATGGCCCTTTGGAAAAACAGGAAAACCTACTACTGTAGAAGCTTCCCAAAATGTATGCCTACGTGGGAGGAATCTAAATGCAGTCACCAAATAAAAGGAAGGACAGTGCCAACTAGAGATCTTATTCCACCAACTGAAACTTTCGGTGTCAGGAACGGGCTGCATTTGTGGAGTCACTGGAAACCCCCAAACATCACAGGGTAGCTTTTACTCTCCACAAACTGATGGTAAAGCTCTATTGCTGGAGACAACACTCACTTCGGTCATCTCACACGAGAAGTCATCTTTAGTAAAGCCTAACTAGAAGCTGTACCCTACTGACTAGTGTTGATGGACTGGAAGTACTTTGTACACTAGCAACGGGGAAAGGTAATCATTGATATCACCCAGCTGTAAACCTGTGACCTGCAACAGTGATCTGCCTGCAAGATATACTGTGAAACAGTGGTACAAATGCTATGGGAAGAACTAACTGATTTTTTTTAAAGATTTATTTATTATGTATACAACATTCTGCCTCGATGTATGCCCGCACACCAGAGGAGGGCACCGGATCTCAGTACAGATGGTTGTGAGCCACTATGTGGTTGCTGGGAATTTAACTCAGGACCTCTGGAAGAGCAGCCAGTGCTCTTAACCACTGAGCCATCTCTCCAGCCCAACAACTGATTTTTCATTGGATTTAAGGACCAACCCATAAAATGTAACCCATACATGGCACTACCAAAATGGCCAAAAACCTGAGACCAGATAGTTCCTGGGCTAGCGGAAAACCCACTATTATTCTGCTAAAGGAACACAGTAATAATATTCCTAATACACAAAGATCCGCACCTCACTCAACCTATATCAAAGAAGCTTCTTTTCAGAGTAGATAGGAAATATCACAGAGACCTTTCAGCTGGACAATAGGCAGAGTGGGAGAGACTTTGGAGTACTCAGTCCTAAATGTCTTCAACAAATTTCCCACCCCCAAGCTTGTGGGAGAAGGGGAAAGAATTTCAGAGCCAGAGGTGGTGGATGACTCTAAGGAAACAGGGCCTCCAGACACAACGGACTAATGCACATATGAACTCACAGACTGTGGTAGTATGCACAAGATTTGCACAGGTTCAAGTCAGAGCTTCATCACTGAGAAGGGGAAGTAGAGGGAGGGTCCCATTCCTAGCCAAGAAGCTATCTGTAACTGATACCTGCTTGCAAAGTAAAACTTAGTTTTCTTCACTGGAGTCTCACTGGGTATATCACCCACACTTTAGAGTATGCCCCACGACCTGCAGGAGGTGGCCAACACAAAATGAATTCATTGGTACCTTTTCAGACTTTTTATTTTGGTATTTTTGGTTTTTTTTCTTATTTTGATTTTTGTTTTGTGATTTTTTTGTGTGTGTGTTTTTAAAAGAAAGAGAGAAAAATAACATAAAGTTCAGTGTGTAGGAAGGTAAGGAGAATCTTGTTAAAATTGAGGGAGGGGGAAATATGATCAAAATAAATTTGCATGTAAAAAATTTAAATTAAGAAAATAAAACAAAAGAGAGTACCCCTCAATTAAGGACTCTTTCCAACTCTAGAATAACTAGAACAGATTCACCTCTGTCACACTTGTCTGAAATACAGCTTTTATAAGCAGTTTTATTTACACAATCCCTCTGGTTCTGGGCACTGCATCTGTAGAGTGTCTCTGAGCATCCAAGCTGGTTCCCCAAATACATGCTTCAGAATACTTATAACCTCATGTAAAACAGAAATACTTTCTTGACCCAATACCTAAGTCATCTTAGAATTAAAAGCACTGAACTACATGTAATCTTCAGATACCAGAATCTGAGCATGAAGGGAACATAGTAGAACCCCAAAGTTTTGCCTACTGACCCACTGTCACCACTGAATGGAAACATTCAAGCACTCTATCTTGCAGAAGGCATTGATCTAAATCAAGCTCATTAACAGCAGACAACAATAAAGACCCAATCAAGGCAACTGCACTTAGCCATACCTGGATGAACTTCCTTCTAAATGGCCCCAAGCCTTGAGCCTGAAGGTCACCCAAGGCAGTGTACATCCTTTCATACAGTTTTACAATATTATTTTTATTCACAGGATTCTTTTCAAGTTCATTTTTCATATCCTCAACCCAGTCCTGTGCCAAAAGAGAGAGGAAAGAATCAAGAAAGAAGTTAGACTATCCACAAATGCTATTCACATTCATTTTTTCATTGTCAAAGGCTGTTTTCTTACCTTAAAGAGCATATCAGGATTGGAGAGCTGGTCTAGGGCATTAATAAAAACTTGAATCTCTCCTCCTTGATCAAGTTTACTTTTTATCCTATAAAAAATTACCAGGTTTAGGCCAAGTGTTGTGGCACACGTTTTTAATCCTAACACTTAGAGGTAGAGGCAGGTGGATCTCTGTGAATTCAAGGCCACCTTGGTCTACACAGAGAGTTCCAGGATAACCAGGGATACACACAGAGACCCTGTTTCAGAGCACCACCACCACCACCAGGTTTAGGTAGTAACCAGGGTCTATTTTTATATGTTTAAAATATAGATTTAGAACATAGCTTTCAGGTGGGCTGTTAAGTCTCCAATGTATGCTTTCTCTGTTTTCTTTAAGTGGGCACTTTGTGCTATGAACTACTTTCTTGATGGTTACATATAATTATACATATAAACTCATGTCGTACACACACACACACACACACACACACACACAACATGTCCAGGGAAGTAGCGACTTGAGAATTATATATTAGATTGACAGTGGTTCTCAACCTGTGGGTCAAGACCCTCTGGCGGTCGAAAGATACTTTCACAGGGGTTGCATATTAGATGTCTTGCATATCATTGTTTTGCCTAGGCTGCCTGGTCAGTAAGCTCTCAGGATCTGTCTGTCTTTGCAACCCAATGCTGAGGCTACAGGTGCATATAGCCATGGGTGCTGGGGAACTCAGGTTCTTGTGCTTGCAAAATAAGCTCTCTTACCCACTTAGCCATCTCCCCAGTTTCTCTGGATTCCTATTATATTTTTATTTACTTATTTGTAGTATATTGTTTATATACAGCTCAGGCCGCCCTCAAACTTCAGTCTCCTGTCACAACTTCTAGAGTACTTGTGACTACAGGTATGCGTTACCACGTCAACACTCCAATGTATCTTAAAGGGCAGCTTCACAGAAGTCTTAGCTGGGGTTTCTACTACTGTGAGAAACACCAAAAAGAGAAGCAACTTAGAGATGGGAGGGTTTCTCTCAGTATCTCAGTGTATAGCTCTCAGGGAACAGTTCATTACTGAAGAAGTCAGGATTTGACCTCAAGGCAGGAACCTGGAGTCAAGAACTGAAGCAGAGGCCATGGAGGGGATGCTGCTTACTGCCTTGCTCCTTAAGCCCCGGTTTGCTCAGCCTGCTTGCTTGCTTTCTTCTTTCTTTTGAGACGGGGGTTTCTCTGTAGCTTTGGAGCCTGTCCCTGGAACTAGCTCTTGTAGACCAGGCTGGCCTTGAACTCAAAAGAGGTATGCCTACCTCTGCCTCCTGAGTGCTGGGATTAAAGGCACGCGCCACCATCGCCCTGCTCAGTCTGCTTTCTTATACAACCCAGGACCAACTGCTCAGGAGCGACACCATCCACTTGAGCTGGGCCATCTCTTATCAATCATTAACCAAGAAAATGCCCATGGGGCTAATCAAGTGGGGTCATTTTCTCATTTGAGGCTCTCTCTTCCCAGATGACTGTAGCTTGTGTCAAAGGCAAATCAACTAGGACAAGAACTGATGCAAAAAGCATCTCATTTAGTCTGTATAATGCAAAATATTATTAACTACGGGCATGCAGGCAAGCACCTAAGACAAACTATTTTCAAAAGTAGAGAAATTCTGTAACAAGTATATGGAGAAAAGATAAACTCAAGAGAAGTCTAAGAATTTCTATGCTTCATGAAAAGCTCAAATGTATTTGTATGTTTTTGCTTTTACCACACAAAATATTTTATCCATCTCATCAGCACAACACCAAAGCATTACCTTTCAACAAATGCCTTATTCTTATGACCAGAAGAAGTCTGTTTAAAGGAGTAGCTTTCACTGCTTATTATAAAAGGGTAGATGATGGCCTGTGGGTAGTTATCAGCAATCTCTTCCACAGTAGGCTGCACTGCAATGGCTTCCTCTTTATCTAGTAAGGCCATCATGTGGCTGATCCAACCAATGAACTGCCAGCAAGGAATGGATGAAATCTAAAATTCAGAAAACTACAGTTTGAAAATGAACAAACACTGGACACTATTTACCATAAAGGCTATAAAGGCAAAAGAGGTTTAATATGAAATGTCTTATATGGAAGTCTCTCTTAGCTCTCTTTTGCTAAGGAACCTTTGGATTCTTCCAAGCAATTTTTGTACATGTACATACATATTCTTTGCTTAAAGAATACTTGCTGTAGTGGTTTGAATAAAAGTAGTCCCTATAAAGTCATATATTTGAATGCTTGGTTGCCAGTCAGTACAACTGCTAGGGAAGGATTGGGAGGTATGGCCTTGTTGGAGGAGATGGGCTGGGGGTGGGCTTTGAGATTTCAAGACTCCCACCATTTGCAGTGGGCCCAGTCTCCATGATGGTTGTGTCTTAAGATGTGAGCTCTACCTACTGCTCCAGCGTCATGTCATTCCTGCCTGCTGTAGCTAGGCTCCCGACTCTAATCCTCTGAAACTGGATGCCCTCCAAAACCACTGTCTTCTGTAAGTTGTCTTGTACAAGATGTCTTATCACAGGAATATAAAAGTAACAAAGACCAATTTACCTCATTCTTGTAACAGCTATATATTCCATTTTACTTACTGCATTATCGTGAATAGTTAGGGGATGAGTCCTGACAATATGGTAGACCCTCATGGGGATGAGTCCTGACAATATGTAGGCCCTCATGGGGTAAGAGTCCTGACAATATGGTAGGCCTTCATAAGACTCTTGACAGTATGGCAGGTCCTCATGGGGTAAAGTCATGACAGAGGGCTGGAGAGAAGGTTCAGAGGTTAAGAGCACTGTCCAGAGTTCAAGTCTCAGCAACCACATGGTGACTCACAACCATCTATAATGAGAACCTGTTGTCCTCTTCTGGTGTGCAGGCATACATGCAGGTAGAACACTATACATATAAAAGAAAGAAAGAAAGAGAAAGAGAGCAGGGGGAGGGGGGCGAGGAAGGGATAGAGGGAGGAAGAAAGAGTCCTGACAACACGGCAACCCTCAGGGCTTACAGATGAACACTAAGGTTTTGCTATACAGAGCTGGGGAGATGCTCAGTTGGTAAACTACAGCAGGGTTCAGTTCCCGGTATCTATGGAGAAATGAGGTGCAGTAGCATGGACCTGTAATCCCGTGCTGGGGAGGAAAAGACAGGAGGAAAGGTCCAGGGACTTGCTGGTTAGCCAGCCTAGCCTAACTGGCAAGCTCCAGGTACAGGGAGAGACTGTCTCAAAAGATAATGTGGAGAGAAGTTGACGAAGACATGGAAAATGGACCTTTAGTCTGGGCACTCATGCACACACACAAAAGATAAGATCTTGCTACATAAAGTGATGGAGGAAGGTCATTGGTTAAATAAACAAACTGCCTTGGCCCTGATAGGTTAAAATTTAGATAGGCGGAGTAAACAGAACAGAATGCTGGGAGGAAGAGGAAGTGAGCTCAGAGTCCATGCTCCACTCTCCTGGGCAGACGCCATGAAGCAAGCTGCCAGGTCAGACATGCTGAATCTTTCCCGGTAAGACTGATGCTACACAGATTATTAAAGATGGGTTGATCAGGATATGAGAATTAGCCTATAAGGGCTAGAGTTAATGGGCCAAGCAATGTTTAAAAGAATACAGTTTATGTGTTGTTATTTCGGGGCATAAGCTAGCCAGGCAGCTGGGGTGCTGGGGACGCAGCCCCGCCACTCCTTCTACAGAATGGCACCCAGACGTGTGGATAACTGAATCCACTGAAAGCCTGAGAAAGCTTGGGAAAGAGTAAAGCATGTTTTCTTGGTAGCAACAATTTCTTGGGTCTGCTCTGCTTGCCAGAGGCAAGCAAGCACTCTCATCTAAGAGAGGCTTCCTGACTCAGCTTTAGCTGCAAAACCCTGCAGCTCTTAAGAGGTCCTGCTACGAAACACTTAAACGGTGTTGGTGAAAAGATGAACGCATTCTTTTCAGTTTTCAGCTGCATTCTTTTCAGTTTTCAGCCGTAGCAGGAAAAAAGCTGAGCCGTTTTAAAATGCCGGCTTTCTGGGCCATCCTGCCAGGGCAAACTCTGACTGTTTGAGGCAGGAGGGCCGACTACAGAGAGAGGACTTGAGTGTTGTCTGTGGACATAATGCTGCAACTTACATTGCTACAGCAGTACCTCCGCCACGAGGCTGGAAAGCTAAGGAATGGGCTAGATCCAGCCGTCAAAGCCACGGTTTTAATCCTACCCATATTGCTTGGTAAATTAAAGACTCATGTGGTCAAAAAAGAGAGATATACAATAAAAAGATATTCAAAGACAAAACGTTTAAATGATTTACAGTGTGTTGAAAATATATGCAGACTAAAAGTTAAAGTTCTTAAAGTAAAAAACAAAAAAAAAGGAAGAAAGAAAGAAAGTAGTTGGGTGTGGTATGACACACCTTTAATCCCAACACTTGGGAGGCAGAGGGAGATTGATCTCTGTGACTTCAAGGTGTGGTAGCACACGCCTTTAATCCCAGTGCCTAGAAGGCAGAGACAAACAAATCTCTGTGAGTTCAAAGTGTATTAGCACACACCTTTAATCCCAATGCCTGGGAGGCAGAGACAGGCGGATCTCTGAGAGTTCAAGGACAGCCTGGTCTACAGAGTTATTCCAGGTCAAAGATATACAGAAAACCTGTCTCAAAAAGTAAAAATAAACAAAATAGAGTTAAAATAAAGCCGCACAAAGATGGAAAACACACAGAGAATTTTGATACTGTATGCTGTTATGCTCTGCTTGAATTGTTTGAATGCTGAGGAAGGAGCAACAGCTGCTAAAAGATATTTGCTTATGAATGCTGCTGAACTAATCCAACATAGATATTTTGAAAATACCTTGACTTCAGAATTTGGATCTTAAAGATATGACACTTTGGAAAGGAGTTTCTTCTTTTGTTTTCACAGAGAATGAGACCCTGTGGATTTCTTCTATTCCAATATGGTATGATGGACCACGCCCTCCTGAAAGGTTGCTGTGAACACCTTCAAAAAATTGCTTCGCTCAACTGCCAACTGAGATGAAAGTAGCACACAGGTTATACCATGAAAGACGTAAATAACAGCGCCCCCATTCAGCAGGAAGTAGTTTGGAGAGAAAAAACTGCGCCCATGTTCCCAAATATTGTTTATAAATGTTCTTTTACATTTAAAGGGGGATATGATATAGGTATGAATAATTTGCATTAGTATAGATTTTGCTTTATTGATAGAGATTTAAGGTCAATCTTGTTATATGTATATGTATTTCTGATATTGATTAAGGTATTGTGATTGTGTAGTTCATTTAAAAATGTAATGTATATAGGTTGTTAATGGATAGTCATCTATAATAGTCAAGTTTGTAGTCATGTTAGATTTTCTAGATGTACATAGATATATTTTAGATAGACATTCTTTATATCTTTTAAAGACTACAGAATAGGGCATTTAATGTTTTAATAACTTAGGGTTTTTCATGACAATGAGACATGTCTGCTCCTGGCAGCACCAATCTACTTCAAGAAGAAGATGGGCATGGAAGAGGATCCTTATGGAGTTTGATAGGCATTTGGGCAAGAAAACTGCTCTTGCCTGGACTACTGCATAAACTGGACACAAAGAACCCCCAGAGAGAGGACTGCTGAACTTGCCTAAAAGTGAGATGATCTTTCGGGGTTCCTGATTCATGAAAGAGTCTGCAAGACATTCTTCAGGACAAGCAGATAGTGACTGAACTGCCTTTGAAATTTCCTGCTTCATGGCAATGTCTGCTGGATACTATGGGCCTGTAGGCCGAAGATGGATGCCCCAACAGTACAGAGGAACTTTGGGTGACTGTCCAGGCAGCGAGATGTCTCTGTCATTTCTAGAGTTTGAAAGTTCCTTATTTCTTGTTTGCTTAGGTAATATTGTATCTTTCTGGAGTCTTTGATGGAGTTGAAGAACAGTTAGTTATAGTTATAGTTTTCCTTAGTTATGATAAAGATAAAATAGATATAAATATTGTAATTCTTACTTGATAACTGTTTTGTTATATGTAATTTTGCTATGTTAAAGTTAAAGCCTTCCTTCCTTTTGTTTAAACAGAAAAAGGGGAAATGATGGAGGAAGGTCATTGGTTAAATAAACAAACTGCCTTGGCCCTGATAGGTTAAAATTTAGATAGGCGGAGTAAACAGAACAGAATGCTGGGAGGAAGAGGAAGTGAGCTCAGAGGCCATGCTCCCCTCTCCCGGGCAGACGCCATGAAGCAAGCTGCCAGGTCAGACATGCTGAATCTTTCCCGGTAAGACTGATGCTACACAGATTATTAAAGATGGGTTGATCGGGATATGAGAATTAGCCTGTAAGGGCTAGAGTTAATGGGCCAAGCAGTGTTTAAAAGAATACAGTTTATGTGTTGTTATTTCGGGGCATAAGCTAGCCAGGCGACCGGGGTGCTGGGGACGCAGCCCCGCCGCTCCTCCTATAGAAATAAAGTAATAGGTACCAGTTAGTCCTTTCTGAACTTTTATTTTCAAGTCAAAATTTGTGTCTATTTTCTAGTTATAAATCTGTAAAATTATGAAGGAACTTTTCAGATGGCCCTATTCTTTTATAGATGGAGTCTGCTTATACAGATTGGGCACACAGGACAGGGGCATGGCCAGCATGTGTATCCCCAAGTGAGCCATGGAACAAAAGTATTGAGGCTGCAGGCTGTTATAGGTACATACATGGACCTCTCAATTCCCACTGAGTCTTCTCCCTAGGCCAAGATACCAGCAGATGTGGGTTGCAAAATTCCATACAAATCTGTTCAGAAATATTCCTCCTTGATTGATTTGGTCCTTGTTCAGATATAGTTCTCACAACACCCGCAAAGTTAAGTAGGTAAATGTGAACACTCACACTTTTTTTTTTTTTTTTTTTTTTTGGTTTTTCGAGACAGGGTTTCTCTGTGGCTTTGGAGCCTGTCCTGGAACTAGCTCTGTAGACCAGGCTGGTCTCAAACTCACAGAGATCTGCCTGTCTCTGCCTCCCAGTGCTGGGATTAAAGGCGTGCGCCACCACCGCCCGGACACTCACACTTTTAATCCACTAAATACTCAGCATATAGAAAGAACTCAGTGTTGGCTGGAAAAGCTGTAATATGGCGCTGTGCAGATGGACAAAGCTTTGCTGTACTAGCAAGAGAAGGGGCTGAGTCCGGACCCTCAGTCCCATGTGATCAGATGTGTTGTGGCACTCATCTGGAGTCCTCAGACGCAGGGGGAAACAAGAGGATCACATCAAATCACAAACAGGGCAGAAGGTGAGGAATGATACCCGAGGTTGTTCTCTGACCTCCACAAGCACAATGTAGCATGTGTACACACACAAAAGTTAAAAAAAAAAAAGGCCAGAACATGTGTATTACACACACTGAGTCTAGATATAAATAAGCTCTCTTCCACTCTCAAGGGTACCAACCTCTTTTGTCATTATGGCTAAGGTCTCCTCTGGATACTCTTCTATGATCTGAAGTAATCTAGGAAACCTCAGCCTGGCTTCAGAAGAGTTCAACTTTAATGCTCTTAGCAGTTTCTCCACCACAAGTGCTGGATATGCTTCCAATTCTACAGCACCAAAGAGAGCAGAAAGGAAAGCGATGATTGGCACACAAACCATAGATGTGACGAATAATAACTAATTTCCCTGTTCGGGCTTCTTTTTTTTTAGTCTATCACTGTTCCCTCTCCAGTGCTTTTCTTTCGGTTAAGAAAAGTCATATGTCTGTCAAATCCTTCAGGAAGCAGTTTCTATCCTGGATGATGATTTGATTTTATTCCCAGAGCAAGAGGCAAACCACGTGAGCCAATAACAAATGACAAGTAAAATAAGTGACGTGAAGAGCAAGGGTCGGCTGCAAGGGCTCATATGTGCAGCGCCAGCACTGGCAGGCAGAACACAGTAAGACATGGTCTCTAAAAGTTAAGTCTAAACCCCAAAATTGCCAATAAATAAGCAGAATTTACTGAATGCAGTTATGTTGCTTGGAGATACTATCATCCATTTTGTATTCATAAAGATGAAACAAAGCAAAATATCTGCTATTTGAAACGCACGCACATGCACGCACACACAAGCGTGCGCAGTCAAAGGCATCTACACACTTTCAAGCTTACATACAGAATACTAACCCTTACTTCTCTTCTGTGATGCACTGGATGCACTCTCTTCTACCTTTCGGAGCTGCTGGTCACAGAAACCGACCAGTGTCATATAAGCATGGGCCTGCTCAGCTGCAGCCTCATGGCCCCAGCAGGAAAGCTGGTTCTCCTCTTCAGCTGACTGCACGGCTTTAGAGAAGTGATGGAATGCTCTCTGGTACAGACCTGAGATTACCTGGAATTCGGAAAATGCATCAGTAGATCAATAGCTTTGAAATAACACTGAGATGTTAGGTGTGGTGTGCGCAGTCCCAACTGAAGCAAAAAGGTCCCTGGGGCCCAAGAGTTTGATGTCACCTAGTCAATAGTGAGACCCCTCTTTAATAAAATAAACAAAATATACTTAAAGTTAGGTTAATTGTGGGATGTGTTTATGTGTATGTGTGTGTTGCGTGTGCATGCACATATACCCCAGAGGCAAGGCGTTAAATAATCCCAGCAAAATCTGGAGCATACAAGAACCAGATAAACTCCAGAGAACATGCCAGTCCGTCAATGAGCCATACAGAGCTGGGTCAGTCTAAGGGACTGTGAACCACACTGGGATTCAAAAATTTGATGAAAGTTGGGGCTGTATGTTCAGGTCCTGCAAAGATATCAGTGACACTGAGAAAGGAGAAGACAGGACCACTTGACTACACTGAGACAAGACGGAAGATGGAGAAGAGGCTAACTATAAAAACACAGAATTATCTGAAAGTCAAAAGAAACAACCATCCCACCACTGCCCACAAACTAAGCAAAGCGGCACTAACTACAAAAGCAGAAAAGGCTGTTTTACCCTAAAAGCTTGTAGAGAAACCATCTCAATGGAAATTAATGAAGAAATTTTATATACAAACCCATGGAAGAGCTACTCACCACTCCAACAAAAGCTTGCTTTAAAGACTTGTATTACCAAGTTGGGCATGTAATCCCAGTATTCAGGATGTAAAGATAGATGGATTGCTCTAAGTTGCAAGCCACCCTAGTCTACATAATCAGTTCCAGTACAGCCAGGCTTATACAGCAGGAGAAAAAAAAATAACAAAAGCTGGGCAGTGGTGGCGCACGCCTTTAATCCTAGCACTCGGGAGGCAGAGGAAGGCGGATCGCTATGAGTTTGAGGACAGCTTGGTCTACAGAGTGAGTTCTAGGACTGGTTCAATAGCTGAGAAATTCTGTCTCAAAAAACTAAAAAAACAAAGCCAAAAACCAAAAACTCAATACATCCCCTGTACTATTAGGGGGCTGGGATGTAACTCAGTTGGCAGAGAGCTTGCTTAGTTTTCATGAAGTCATGGGTTCAGTCCACAGTACCATATCAACTGGGTGTGATTTCACACACCTATAGTCCTAGCACATGGCAAATAGAGGAAATTCAAACCCATTCTTGGCTACAAATCAAGTTTAAGGCATGCCTGGGATACATCTGACACTGGCTCAAGAAAAAACAAAATCAAAAACAGAAGATATAATTCAAATACCAAACAATAGGATTATGTCAAATAACATGGATAATGTGAGAAATTTAAAATGACAGGTGTTAATCATTTCATGTCATTTCATCATTTTATTTTAACTGTGTTTTCTAAGACCAGGTCTAGCTCTATAGCTCAGGCTGTGCGTGGTGCTGTCTCCCCAATGTTGGGCTTGCAACTGTGAGCCACTACACCTGGCTTTGTCCATAAAAGAATACTCTCTCACTGCTGATTGACTTTGTCCTGAGGGTAGCACATAAAAGTCGTGCAGCACAAGAAGGACTGCCCTCCTCCACTTTTCTTACCTTCTCTGTGCTTTCTCCATTAGACCGAGAAAGTGCCAAGACTGATTTGGCCTTGCTTTCCTCCAGGTCCAACAGGCAGGCTGGCTCCCTGTTGATAGCATCAGCCATGATCTTGAAAGTTGTCCCCAAAAGAATGTTCTGGTCACAAGAGACCCGACTATTTTTGTTTAAGTAGTTTGACATATTAGTCTCATCTTTTGGATTAAAAAAAGAAAGAAAAAGAAAAGAGAAAAAGTGATTTTTTTTAAAAGAAGAAATTCAAAGTAAGTTTTTTTTTTCCCTATTAAGATATTAACTGTGGTGGCGTACGCCTTTAATCCCAGCACTCGGGAGGCAGAGCCAGGCGATCTCTGTGAGTTCGAGACCAGCCTGGTCTACAGAGCTAGTGCCAGGACAGGCTCCAAAGCCACAGAGAAACCCTGTCTCGAAAAACCAAAAAAANAAAAAAAAAAAAAAAAAAAAAAAAAAAAAAAAAAAAAAAAAAAAAAAAAAGATATTAACTGAAACAAGGCACAAGAGCCTGGCTTCATTTTCTGATGAAGTACGTTTTTTTCTTTTTATTAAACTTTCTTTTTATTTATTTTAGGTGTCTTTTACATCATGTATCTGGATCCATTCATTTCTCCATCCCTTTGCATCTACCCTCTGCCCCTGCAGCCCCATCTAAAATAAAAATTTAAGTGAAAAAGGGGGAAAAAGATTTAAAATCTCATCATGAAAGCCGCAGTGTGACACAGAAGGACACACAGTAAATCCCTTTATCCATATATCTTTTCTTGCAAGTGTTCATTGCAGAGTCACTGGTCTGGTTGGAGGCCTCTGGTCTCTGCTACACTATCGATGCTGGGCCCTCACTGGGACTCCTCTCGGATACCCGGTCGTTTCCTGTGTTGTGGAGATCCTGCGGCTTTGGGTTTGGGGATCAGGTTCCTTAAGTGCTCTAGCAGATCACAGATGGGGTGGATGTTGGGGAGGGCCAAGTCATAACCCCGGGTCTGGGCCTGGGCAGCTGCAGGATTGGTCTGCCTGCTAGTTCTTCCCTGTCCTCATCACCAGGGTGAGCTCTGCAGCATTAGCATTGCCCTGGCGAGTTCATCTCACAGCAATGAGCGAGGGTGAGGTCAGTTCTCCTGCCTCCATGCCCTCACGTTTGGCTCTCTCACACCCACACCATGGGAGCCAGCTCTATTGTGTTGTCCACTGGAGATATAGGGGCCACTGCAGCTGGTGAGGGGCAGGGACAGCCCTCCTGCTCTTCTGACCCCAGGACAGTTCCTCCACCTGTCTCAGACACTGATGGGTGGGTGGTGATGGTGGGGGCATCTCTCCTCTGCCCATGCCCATGTGAAAAGATTTCTTAAACTTGCTAATATAAAAAGTTTTCTGTTAAAAGGAAACACTGAAATCCACAGAATTAAGGTTTAAAAGTAGGAATAACTTTTTTTATTCTAGTATTAGCCGTATTTTATCAAATTCCTAGTTTTGTTTGTTGCAAAGAACAGAAGATAACTCTTATTAATATGTTTATATACATTAACATCCCAGGACATATTTTTAGACCGACAGTATGGTGTAGTTTATGAAACAAAAGCATAGTGCTGGGCAAGGAACTCAGGGCTGCGCACCCAGCCGTGTGCCCACGGGGAAGTAAACCTAGAGCCTCAGACCTGCTGACAACTATGCTCATAGTCAGACATCAGCACAGTGAGTCAAGAGACCCTAGGGTCATTATTTAACTCACTTCTCCCTCTTTTTGTTTTTGTTTTTGTTTTGAGACACTCTTCCTATATAATAGTGGCTGGTCTTAAAGTTGTGGCAATTACTCTGCCTTGGCCTCCTCTGTGCTGGAATTACAGGTGTGTACTACCACGAGTGTGCAAGAAACGTTTTCTGTCCCTAGGATATGTGGAGAAGATAGTCCTTCTCTGGTATTTTCAGAGTCTGCAGCCCTGTGTTTCCCTGCACAGAGTCCCACTGCATACCCTGAGGAGAAGAGCAGGGGCGTCAGATCCCACACATGCCCAAGGAAGCTTTTCTCCTCCATCTGAATGTTGTACTGCAGTAGTGCAGGGATCTGCTCTCCTCCTAAGGCCATGACATCACGCTGTGGCCCTGTTTACTATGCTCTAGAATATTCACAAGGCAGATCGAAACCCTCAGATGAAGCAGCCCAGAGCAGCTTTGGAAGACCACATAACAAAGCCTCACATCTATGCAGCCAGTGGCGGCCTAATTACCCAACAGTGTGATGGTTTTGAGCACGGTGAGAACTTGTTCCCTGGAGCTCTGGGTGTGGCTCCGGCCGTGGCTCATCCGGCAGTAACTGTGTGTCCACCGCACTCGCCAAGTCTCTCTTGTTTTTGAATCTTTATGCAGCTCTTTCAGGAGTTTCATGGCAAGTGAGAAATTATTCTACATGAATAGAACAAAAAGAAAGAAAAGGTTTTAGGATTCTCATTATTCAGTCAAAGGGGCTCAAGCTTTTGCTCTGGTAGCTCTGTGGAAGAGATATGGCCTGTGTCTGAGAAAATTAGTCTCTTTAGATCTTTGCTGCCATCTCTTTTCCTTTCTGTTCCAGGAGAGGTATCTATCAGGTGTGAAAATACTGTCTACATCTGACCAGCACAGAAAATTACTTTAAAACCTTTTCAGCTGGCCTGTTCCCCTTTCTACACGACACAATATGCCCCAGAGCAGTCTCATGTACACACACACACACACACACACACACACACACACACACACACACAATTCTGTGTGTATGTGGGTGCATATGTGCACAGAGGTTTCAGGTCAACCTTGTGGATCATTTTTCAGGTGTCGTTCACCTTGTTTTTTGTACAGTCTCTTACTGGCCTGGAGCTTACAGAGTAGGCCAGGCTAGCTGGCCAGTGAACCCCAGAGATTCGCTCATCTCTACCTCCCAGCACTGAGATTTAGTACATATCTCTTTACATGGGCTCTGGGACATTAACCCTATGCTTACACAGCAAGTACTTTCTGAGTAATGTGTACACTTACATCTAAAGAATGCTTCGGCATTTCTTTTGAGCATACTTAGAAATATTTACAGTATTTACACCAAACATCTAAATTCCAACCGTTTTTACCAGCCTAAAGAGAAACTCTTAGTTCCATGGTAGACATGCTCAGTCTTTCTAGCTAGGGCAGCCAGGACACATTTTCTATCTAAGTCCTATCCTAGATATTTCAAAAACAATGCTATTAGAAAATAATGCATGGTTTTGTAGGGCTTCTTTATTCACTACATTTCCAGACTCATCCATGTTGTAGTGTGTCAGCACTTCATTCTTTACGGCCAATTAAGGATCTGCAGTTCAGACACAGTATTCTCTTACGCGGGCATCTACTGATGAGTGTTTGCATAGTTCCTATCTTTCCAGATAACTTGAATGCTGTGAAAAACCGTTTACACATTTTCATGTGGACTTTTATATCTCCCTTCTCTTGGGTATGTCTAGGAATGGAATTTGTAGAACATATGACAATTCTGAAATTGCTAAACTGCTCTATTTTTCAGTGTATATTCCCACCAACAATGTACATTTTTCTGTATTCCCCACCCCTGCTCCCAGCATTGATTCTTCTGTGACAGTCCCCACACTGGTGTGGAGTGGTGCCTCATTGCTCTGGTGACTAATGACATTGAGAAGTTTTTTAAATATGTTTATTGTCCATTTACATATCTTCTTTGAAGAAATGCCTCAACTATCTAAAGAAGTATTTTAGTTTTAGTCATGTGTCTTTCTATATGCATGAACATGTTATAATTATATATAATTATAAGCATCAAGGACTCATTTTTCTAAATGATATAAATCTGGCACTAATTAATTACTTTTTAAGTAATAGAAAATATTTTCAAATAATAAATAGTTTGTCATAAACTCTTGAGTTTTGTGAATAGTGTTTCTTCAAACTTTGTTCTCCAAGTGTTGCATATGGAGCCCAGGGCCTTGCTAGGTAAGAGTTCTACCACTGAGCAGCATCCTATTTTCAAAAGTACTTCCTTATAAAGGGAATAAGGAGATCAAGTGATTATTCTGAAGGTTCACAGTTTAGAGGAAACTTAAGGAAAGAGCTCAGGAAGCTCCCAAGGAGTCACCAAGGGCACAGCAGGGAACACACCTGCTTCCACGCACTGTCCACCATCTTCATTCTCATGGTGAACCTGCAGCTCTGCAGCATGGAGCGAGCATCTTCCTGCAGCTCATCGACTTCTCTCCTGTCAACAGAATCTTCATCCTCATCCACGCTCATACTGAGGTCACCCGAAGAAGCAGTCAGTCTCTCCTCTATTTTACTGAGAAAGAAGCAGCTGCATAAAACAAGAAGAAGTGAGCCTCAACGTCAGAAAGTCATGAAAGCCACCCCATGCCTGAGAAGTGACTGCACAGCATCACAGCACAGAACTGGACAGGTATGAAGGGTTCATCTGTAATAGAGTGTAAATACACTGAAGGGATTAGATTTCTCCCCATTTAATAATTATACTCTTGGAAGATTCCCGAACATATTTTAATAGACTTCTAGATTTTATTCAGTGCCTCCACTTCCATAAAATAAGGCATTTAAATTGCTTGGTCACCACAAGACAACTGAAAATTTTAAAAATAGACCTGTCTCAACTTTGACTTCCCTGCACACGCAGCCAGTATCTTTTTATTATTCTCCATCTTCAGGAATTCTTTTTTTCTTTTTTTTTTAACACTCAACTAGAAATAATCATTTTTAGAACTGGGAAATTTTTAAATTTGGTTTTAGGACAGGGACTTAATTTGCAGCCCTGGCTAGTCTTGAACTTAATATGTAGACTAGGCTGGAATCATTCTGCCTCCTGAATGTTGGGATTATAGGTGTAAGCTACCATGCATATAAATTTCATTCAAATACATACAAATTAAAATTTATACATATATACATATTACATTTATAATTTACATATGATTTTGTTCAAGTGATCTATTTTATATTAGTATCAGTAGTACTGGCAAAGAGCTGTAATATACAAAGTTTATCTCTAATCAATCAAAGAACTTCCAGTTTTTTCATATAGGTCTAACTTTCTTTCCTTCTCTTCTTCTCTTTCTCTGATTTGTCTATCCTCTTCCTCCTTTGTTTTTGAGGGAGTTGGGGCCTTGCTATATTATTCAGACTGGTTGCAAACTTATGGGCTCAAGTAATCTTTCCACTTCAGCAGCTTAAATAAAAGACTACAAGTATGTACCAGTGCACCAACTTTTTCTCATTTTCCTAGAAATATTACGGTCAGACGAACTAGCATCCTTCCTTTTCTGGAAACCCCCAAGACACCAGTCATTCCAGCCATGGGTTGCTTTTATTCTTACCACACTGCTCAGTGCTCCTGGTCCCAAGCCAGCTCATCCTGCCCCTCTTCCCAAAAGCTACTACTGTTTTTAATCTTTCATTGCTTTAAATCAGACTGCAGTCAAGCAACAAGTGTTACAAAATGGGCACTTGATCACAGATGGGACAGGGATACATGTACATGTGAGATGGGCTCTCCTTGGTGGGAACTAATTCACTTCAGGCAGAGGAGGGCCAGAAGTGGAGAGGGAGTTGTGTCACACTGGGGAGGACAGGGCCTGAAAGAGAGCTGCCTTTCCCAGCAGTTACAGTTTTGACTCGGAGATGGCACTATTAGTCCCTTGCAGTCTATTTCTGTGTTCCCTAGAAACTGTGAAAATTAAAATCCCCAAGGATGGTGTGGTGGTTTGAATAGGGATGGCCCCCATAGACTGACGTGTTTGAATGCTGGGGAGCGGCACTATTATGAGGAGTGTGTCGCTGTGGGTGCGAGCTTTGAGGTCTTAAAAGCTCAAGTCAGTTCACTGCCCGAGGATCGAGGTGTAGAGCTCTCAGTTCCTTCTCCAGCACCATGCCTGCCAACATGTTTCCCCACCATGATAATAATAAAAAGTAAAATGAAAAAAAAAAAAGATCAAAAAGAGAATAGTGGGGGTGAAGTCCCTGAGTACTACTTGCTATGGATCGTTCACAAGTAATCGACAACTTCTGATTCCATGGTCCCTTTCCTGAGTATAGGGTAAGTATTGCCCTCTTGACAAGACAGGGTTAGGTCTGGACAGGATGAAAGCATGAACTCAGAACTGGGGAACGAGACACAACCACTTATGGGAAGTAGGAAGCAAAAGACCAACTGTTAAAAACCCAAGTTTTAAAACCAGATCAATGAAGAATCTCTACACAGCCGTTCTCTCTCCTCTACTGTGCGAGAGGAGCAGATGCAGGGTTGTCCACATCACAGCCAGTGGTTGCAACCACAGCTAGTGGACCACAAGGATATGTTAGGGGGATCTTGAGTCTGAAAGAGACACTGCACATATGAAGTTTTGTTAGAATAGTTTACATTGATGATCAGGACGAGAAGGGTATGCTAAACACATTTTTATAAGCCTCGGTTTCAAAGAACCTCCGTGCTGGCAATTCTGGAAAAAAATCCTCTTTTGGCTCAATAAGACCATATCCTACCGATTTGTGATGATGTCATCCCAGATGTGCATCGGGTCTGTCACAGCATCTGGGTATCTGCTTGTCCAGGTTTTCAGAAGTTTTCTAAGGGGACCCAGAGATGATAAATCACCTAAAAATAAAATCAGAGGTTGATCATATCCTCAGTTGAATGACAAGAACTTACAAAATACAATCAGAATTAGTTAACAGAAACCTAACTCAAATTTCTTATTTTTCAATTATTAAAAATAAAACAAATCTAAAAAATCAGCAAATTAAAAAACAAACAACAAACCAAAAAAAAACCCAACACTTTGTCTTTCATTCACAAAAGGAATTACATGTCATTATACCAAATGTAATATATTCTGATATGTAAACTCCAGAACTTCAGGTTACTAAAAAATGGAAAAATAAATATATACAAAACTTTTTACATTCTTAAAACCTAAGAAGCACTGAAAGCTAAATGCTTTCATAGTGTTATAGTGTATTTTCTTCAGGCCAAATGTGATCTGAACTGGAACAATGTGACTCATTGTTATTAACAGTGTGGATATGGACAACACACGCTGGGCACTCATCCTATATCCAATTAGGATGCACGTCTCAGCCCTAGGGTCATGCAGGCACATATATGTCTATGATCTACAGCAATCTAGTTTAAGAACAATTCTCACAATTCTGAAATCTCACACTGCCAATGTTTATAGTCTTTCTATGGCTGGGAAGCAGTAGTTAAAAACACCTTTAGCAGCCGGGCAGTGGTGGCGCATACCTTTAGTCCCAGCACTCGGGAGGCAGAGACAGGTAGATCTCTGTGAGTTCGAGGCCAGCCTGGTCTCCAAGAACTAGTTCCAGGACAGGCACCAAAGCTACAGAGAAACCGTCTTAAAAAAAGAAAAAGAAAAAAGAAATGCCTTTATATCAGACAGCCTGAGTTCACATCTTTAACTTAACCTGCACCACCTTATACAACTTAGTTAGCTTCTAGGACACCATAAAATGAGAAGAAAAACAGTACACCTTATATAGTTTTTAGAAAATTTAAAAATGGGGAACAGAACAAAACACAGTTCTCAAAAGATAAAACACGAATGGCTGAAAACAAAGAAATGTTCAACATCCTCAGTCATGAGGGAAATACAAATCCAAACTCCTTTGAGATTTCATTTTACACCTGTCAGAGTGACAAAGACCAATAAATCAAAGGATAGCGCATGCTGGCAAGCATGTGGAGCAAGTGGAACGCTCCTCCATTGCTGGTGGGAGTGCAAACTTGTACAGTCAATATGGACATCAGCGATCATTCTTCAGGATGATGGAAATGATCTGCCTTGAGAGCCAGCTATAACACTCCTGGGCCTACACCAAGCACAGCTAGTGGACCACAAGGATATCTTAGGGGGAACGTAAGTCTGAAAGAGACACTGCACATATGAAGTTTTGTTAGAATAGTTTATGTATGTGGCCAGGATGAGAAGGGTATGCTAAACATCACATCTTTATAAGCCTTGGTTTCAAATAACCCCCGTGCTGGCAATTCTGGAAAAGAATCCCCTTTTGGCTCAGTAAGACCATATCCTACTGATTTGTGATGATGTCATCCCAGATATGGGTCTGTCACAACATTTGGTGTGACATATGGGACTCTACCTTCTACTACTGAGACACTGTCTCAACCATGCTCATTGCTGCTCTATTCAAAATAGCCAAAAATTGGAAACAGTCTAAATGTCTGTAAATGGATGAACATATAAAGAAAATGTGGTGCATTTACACAATGGAATATTACTCAGTAGGCCAAAAAAAATGAAATCATAAAATTCACAGTAAATGGTTGGAGCTGGAAAATAAAATCATCCTCAGTAAAGCAACCCAGACACGAAAGACAAATATGCTATGTATTTACTTATAATTCGATGGGGCTAGCTGTTAAGTCTTTGATAAGCAGGCTACAGCCTATATAACTACAGAGGTCAGGTACAGAGTAAGGGACTAGGGGGAGGGAAGGATCTCTCTAAGAAGGGGAAACAGAATATATAGTTATGGGTAGGTAGGGGCTGTGGCGGGACCCAGACTGGAATGGAGCATCAAACAGGGAGGGAGAGGGAAGAGGAAGGTAAAGGAGAGAATACGGGGACAGAAAACTTAACACTAAAGGCTATTTGAAGGGCTACATGGAAACCATAATGAAATTCTGCTATACCCATAGGCCACTCAGTCATCATCAGAAAAGCCTTCTCTTTCAACAGACAGGAACATGACTCAATAGAGGCCCACAACTGGACAGAGTACAGAGACAGAGATTTTAGAGCTCTCAGTCCTAAATGGATGCTTTCACCAGACCTTTCCTCTTAGTGCTCTGGGACCTATGTGTAAGAGGAGGTGAAAGGACCGCAGGAGCCAGAGGGACGGATGACTACAAGAGAACTGACACACATAAGAACTCACTGAGACCGTGGCAGCATGCACCAAGGCTGCATAGGTTCAAGTCAATAGGATCCCAGCCCTGAGAGAGAGAAGGAGATATGATCTCCCACTTCTAATCAAAAAGCTACCCGCAATTTACAGCTGCTTGCAAAGGAAAAATTAGCTGTCTCCAGTAGAGTCTCCTGGACAGCGACCACACTTCAGGACAGCCCCCATGGCCGGCAGTAATGACAGCACAAAACAAACTTACAGGTATTTTTGAAGACTTTATGCCTCATACTGCTTTGTTTGGGCATTTTTATCTCTTTCTGGTCTTTTGTTTCGGGTATGTTTGTTTCTTCTCTTTTAAAATTCTGTTTTCTTTCTTTCTTTTTTTGTTCTAGTTGTTTATTTCTTTAATAAATAGAGAAAAAGAGGTGAGCTGTTGGGTAGGTGGGGAGGATCTAGACGGGGTTGGAGAAGTAGAAATTATGATAGGAATATTTTGTATAAAATTCTTTTTAAAAGAAATTATAAATTAAAAAAGAAGACTATAGATGGTTGTGAGCCACCATGTGGTTATGGAAATCGAATTCAGGATCTCTGGGAGAACAGTCAGTGCTCTTGACTGCTGAGCCATTGAGACCCTACTTTTCATACTGGGTCGCCTTCCCTATCCTTAATACATGGGGAGGCAATAGCACAGACACTGAGAGAAACAATTAATAAATGGGACCTCCTCCTGAAATGCTTCTGTAAAGCAAAGGACACGGTCAACAAGACAAAATGACAGCCTACAGAATGGGAAAAGATCTTCATCAATCCCACATCAGACAGAGGGCTGATCTCCAAATTATACAAAGAACTCAAGAAATTGGTCATCAAAAGAACAAATAATCTAATAAAAAAATGGGGTACAAACCTAAACAGAGAACTCTCAACAGAGGAATCTAAAATGACTGAAAGACACTTAAGGAAATGCTCAACATCCTTAGTCATCAGAGAAATGCAAATCAAAACAACTCTGAGATCCCATCTTACACCTGTAAGATCAAAAACACTGATGACAATTTATGCTGGAGAGGATATAGGGTAAAGGGAACACTTCCTGCATTGGTGGTGGAAGTGTAAGCTGGTATAGTCCCTTTGGAAAGCAGTATGGCAATTTCTCAGAAAATTAGGAAACAACCTTCCTCAAGACCCAGCAATACCACTTTTGGGTATGTACCCAAAGAATGCTCAATCATACCACAAAGACATGTGCTCAACTATGTTCATAGCAGCATTGTTTGTCATAGCCAGAACCTGGAAACAACCTAAATGACCCTTGACCGAAGAATGGATAAGGAAAATGTGGTACATTTACACAATGGAGTACTACACAGCAGAAAAATAATGACATCTTGAAATTTGCAGGCAAATGGATGGAGCTAGAAAACATTATTTTGAGTGAGGTAACCCAACCCAGAAAGACAAATATCACATGTACTCACTCATAAGTGGCTTTTAGATATAAAGCAAAGAAAACCAGCCTACCAATCACAATCCCAGAGAACCTAGACAACAATGCGGACCCTAAGAGAGACATACATGGATCTAATCTACATGGGAAGTAGAAAAAAAAAAACAAGATTTCCTGAGTAAACTCGGATCATGGGGATCATGGGAGAGGGTAGAAGACTAGGGGAGAGGAAGGGAGTGATGGAGGAAGGTCATTGGTTAAAAAATAAAGAAACTGCTTGGCCCTGATAGGTTAAAAAATAGGTGGGTGGAGTAAACAGAACAGAATGCTGGGAGGAAGAGGAAGTGAGCTCAGAGGCCATGCTCCCCTCTCCTGGGCAGATGCGATGAAGCAAGCCGCCAGGTCAGACATGCTGAATCTTTCCCGGTAAGACTGGTGCTATACAGATTACTAAAAATGGGTTAGGCAAAATATGAGAATTAGCCCGTAAGAGGCTAGAGCTAGTGGGCCAAGCAGTGTTTAAAAGAATACAGTTCTGTGTAGTTATTTCTGGTGTAAAGCTAGCCGTGTGGGAGCTGGGCGGGACGAAAAGCAGGCCCACAGCTCCTACAACAAGGGAGGGGAGCAGAGAAAAAACGTAGAGCTCAATAAAATCAATAAAAAAATACACGTGGAGGTGCTTAGTCTTGCTACAACTTGATGTGCCATGTATTGTGGATACTCTTGGGAGACCTGCCCTTCCTTGAACAGAAATGGAGGAGTGAATTAGGAGATGGGAACAGAGCCGGACAGGGGAGAGGGACTGGAAGGAACAGAGGGAGGGGAAATTGTGGCAGGGATGTAAAATAAATAAATTAACTAATAAAGAAAGACTAATAACTCATTAGAGGTAGAAAGTACTTAAGATGGCTTAAAAATACAATACTTCTCTAAATTTAAAACAGGAAACAATGAGCAAGCTATAAAAACATTTGATAAATCATTTTTAACTATTCAAAAGAAAATTGAAACAGATTTAGAATGAAGACATTTCCCTTACAAAAATATATACTTTCTTGATCTCCTGTATGGTTTTTCAGAGGAACCAGAGTAAAATCTGCTGTTGGTGGTGCAGGGACCTACATGCTCTCTCCTGTTGTCCAAAGCCTGCCACCTCCTCCCCATTGTCTCCTCAGACTCACCACACACACACACACACCCATTCTGGACAGTGAGGCCTGTCATGGCAGTGGGCCTCTGGGGAGGGCTCTTGGAGCCCTTCTCTCTACACTGCACTAGGGTCTCCCTTCAAGAGCCTCCAGGTCCAACCCTGGAATCATTGTTTGAGTACTTCAAGCTGTCGATATTTTGTTTGGCTTTGTATTTCCAGTTCCTGGAACAAGAGTGCTGGACCATTTTAAACATTTAATCGAGTGACAGGTGCATTTTTAGGACACATCCAAGGCAGTTTTCATCCCATACATTAAGTTTAGCTTCATTTCAGGTGTTAAGGGCCTTCCACAATTAGAAAGGAAAAAATAATAACAAGCTTAAAACTTACCATGTTTACTTATAAAGTTGAGGAACTCCTCAATTTCTGCTAAAGTCTGCACAGACTGTAACTTGGCAAGTCTACTTCTGTGTAAGAAGACATCAATACTGGAATAATTCTAGGGAAAAAAAAGCCTTGTTATAAAGGGAACATACTACGTAAAACTTTTAATGGTTTAAAAAAAGAATCATGTAGTGTCTCAGAGTGCTTAACAATTATGCCTTGGAAACAACTATTAAATGGGTTAAACTAAAAAATTATTTAGGATTTCAGTTACATCTTGTTTCAACTATATCAATAAGATCATAATAATAGCATAATCTGGCTATCAGATTCCTTGTTCTATCTATCATCTACCTACTTTCTTCTAGTAAGGATCTATTCCAGGTCTATTTACATGGTAGACAAATACTCTTCTGCAAGCTACATTCCTAGTTTGCACCAAATTTTAAAAATCATAGTATCTTACAATACAAAATTGAGAACCACAGAAGCCCACTCTTTTTTATTTATCTTTTATGTGTGTGAGGGTAGAAGCATGTCATGTACTTGTGTGGAGGTCACAGTGCAAGCTTGGGTGCCAGTCCTCGCCTTCCTCCCTTGGCTGGTGTTACACAAGGTTAGCTGGACTGCCGTGGTTTGCTTTTTTGTTGCTACAATAAAATATCATGCCCAAAAGAAAGTTGAGGAGGAAAGAATTTATGTGGTTTACAGGTTAAAGTTCATCACCATGGAAAGTCCAGGAACTCAGAGCAGGTACTGGGAAGTAAGAACTGAAGCAGAGACCATAGGAGAAGGGATGCTGCTTGCTGGCTTGCTTCCCGTAGTAGTAGTATATTCCGCTTGTTTTCCTAAACAATCCAGGACCACCTGCCCAGGGTGGGACCACCTGCCTCAGGACATGCCCCTAGACCAATCTGACAGAGGCAGTCCCTCAACTAAGCAGCATGTGCACTAAGAGCTCCTAGGAATTCCCCTCCATCTCCCGTTTCATTAGAGAAGGTCTGAGGTGACAGACAGATGCTACCATATCCAGCTTTACACGGCTCCTGGAATCTGACCTCGGTCCTCATGCTAACAAGTACTTTCTCCACTGAGCCATCTCTCCAGTCCTGACACCACGTCTTTCTAGTCAGCTTACTAATTTACTTTAAAATGAAAAAAAAATAAATGACTATGTTTCTATGCTTAACATTGTTGGTAGACTGTTAGTGGTTACTAAAGAAACAAACCAACTAACAACCATGAAAACAAACAAACAAACAAAAAAAGGGCAGAAAATGAACATAGGGCACATTAATTGATTTCCCAATTAAATTCTGCAGTATTAAATCTTATATTACTTTTAGTTAGTCCTTTCAAAGCAATTGGAATGTATCTTTAAACAAGTATTAACCTCCCTGGTATGACTACCCAGAAGAATGATTCATGTTCTCTTTTAATACTACTGAGATGGCAATCTGCATTGTGTCCACACAGAGAGATTAGATCAGTTTATGTATTTACTTATAAATTAACTAAATTTCTAAACAACAATCCCAGAGAAAATTCCACATCGCACAGTGTAAAAAAGATTAAACTAAAGAAATAACAAAAAGTAGAACCCCAACAACAGTGAAGAGAAGAGTGACCGGGACAGAGGAAAAGTAAAGAGCACTATTAGAATTCAAAGAAAGAACGGGTGCTACATGTGAGAGCACACAGGTTTGCGTGGGTCTTCTGTGTGTGTATGTGTGCACGAGATTACTGACACTCAAAGTATTATAGTAAAAACAGTATACATCATAGAGATCCATCTGTATTACCTGCATGAAAATCTGAATGCCATTTTTAATGTAGTATGTGGCTCTGTCAATATCGTCTTGCAAGATGTAAAGGAGACTCAGCTCCTGACTATACTGAAGCTCCAGGATCGTCTTCTGCAGCTCCTTGTGCATGGCTTCATCCACAAACGTCAGCAGAGACTGGTTGCCTTCTCCATGAAGCAGGAGCTTCAGTTTGCTTCGGATCACATACGGGAGATATGTCTCCTACGGAACAACAACAATCCGCTACCGACTTAGAGCGCCAATCTGAGTGAAAGCAATTATTTTCTACCTGAAATATTCTTTGGAATAATTTATTTTATAGTTTAAGACTGAGAACCAAAATAATGATGTCTGATGCTGTAGCCTAAAACTACAATTTTAAAACCAAGTTCATCTAACATGGATTGTCTTCTAATCACAAAATACGTGATCCTTTCCAGAGAAGAAAGGATCTACTTGGCGGCACACAAACTGGGGAGCGACAGCCTGAGAAGGACGCAGCATGGGCATGGGAGGGCCTGCAACTGCCTCACTGGATAACACGATGCAGACTGTCTTCTCAGTAGCATAGAAGACAGCGGGAGAGACATGTCTACTATAAAACACCTCCCATTTATTTTGAAATGGCTAGCTAAAAAGTGATACGGAATTTAACACCATGGAGTTTAAATATCAAAGGCTTCAAAACTACTATCTTAATCTTAGAAAATTTTAAAGTAGTTATATTAACTGGAAAACCCATTACTATTTAGAACATTTACTTCAGTTACTAAAAAATAATTCTACACACCTGGTAAAATGGTTCGCTCCATATTTTACTCAGGTCTAGAGGATTTTCACTACCTACACTAGTTGTAGAACAGTATTCAAGTGGTTTCCATTCAGACAGGTTGTTGTAACAGTCAAGGGATGCCAGTTCCCAGAACTCTTTCTCAGCCTCTGTGGGTTCACCATCCACCCACTCCTGTTTATTTAAAGCCTGGGAGAAAAAAAAGAGAGTTATTTTTTTTTTGGAGTTGAAAAAATATAGATACAAATACATTTTTAAAAGAAGGGTATTATAACATACATACTAAAGACAATCATTTCATATTTATGGCAACATGAGAGAAATGAGGTAATATTCAAATAACAATGAATAGAAGAAAAAAACAAAATAAAATGAAAGAACCTTATGGTAAGAAATGAGGCCAGGCATGGTGGTACATACCTGTAATCCTTACACTCAGGAGGTAGAGGCAGGCAGAGCTCTGTGAGTTCCAGGATAGCTAGGACTACAAAGTAAGAACTTGTCTCAAACCCCAAAACAAACAAAAAAGACACTAATGGGAAGAAATTCATCCTACTGAGAACTCACCAGGAAAGCCAGTTAAGTGATGCATAATTTGCTTTAAGTCAAGACTGTGCATTATCTATCACTTAACATGTTCTTAGAGTTAAAATAGAAAGTTGAGGACATTTGCAAACTGTTGTATGCGTCAAAGCTAAGATCATTCACTCAATAGTTTTATAGGCTGCAGATCCTAAAGTTTGACACCTACTATCTTGGCCAACTTGAAATAAAATAAGACGTACAAAACCAGACTATATCAAAAATCACAAAGTCTATTTCACTTTACCATAATTTTTAAGTGAAGGAAAGCAATACCCCCATAGAAATGGTAAACATAGCAGCGGCCACAGAAGTACTGTATAGTGTTCTGTACTTCGTAGTCTATGAAATGCTTTGCCTTTTCAATGTTGCTTTAAAAAGAGCAAGACACAGTAACAATCATGTCACAATTGGTTATTATAAAACCACATTTAGTTATTTATCTTAAACATTAAAGTTAGCAGGTAATTTTATATGTACAGAGCCAAGGTGTTTAAGGAACTGATATATTTGCCAGAGACTGGTTTTACCTCATTATACAGCTTAGCAGCTTCAGAATAATCACTTCTGGCTTCTGCTAATAGTGCATTCCGAGTGTCCTGCTTTGTTCCTAACTCACTGCCAAAAATGCCACGGAGGACATCATACTCCCCAATTGATCGATACAGTCTTTAAAAAAAAAGAGAGAGAGAGAATAAATAAATAGCAAGCAAGCCAAGAAAGTCCAGATCAGTGAATATCACACAATTTACATTAATGTTGAATGAAGACTCCAAATATTTATGAAAGTTGAGATACAAACACATTTTTTTTTTGAGACAGGGTTTCTTGTGTAATAGCCCTGGTTATTCTGGAATTCACTCTATAGACCAGGCTGGTCCTTGAATCTACCTGCCTCTGCCTCCCCCGAGTGCAGGGATTAAAAGCATGTACCACTATTCCCCGCTACAAACAGTATTTTTATTTTTCTGGAAATATAAAATTAAACAGTTTTGAAGCTCCCTTTAATTTTTACTTCTCTAATTAACCCAAAATCTCAAATTATTCTAATATGTATTTGAAAAAAAAATCTGGAAAGCAGGTCACTAATTTGAGACCAGACTACACTGTACTATAGAGAACCTGTCTATAAGAACCTGTCTTAAAAATATGAAAAGTTTATGTATGTATAAAGTCTCATTAAATAAGGTGGTGCCATTTGGAGATACTGTCTAGCCCTAAGGAAAATCCACAAGCAAGGAATAACTCTCACCCTATTGGTGGTTTAGTTTATGCTCCAAGGGACTGTATTTTAAGAACAAAAATTTTCCATGTAGTTTTAATAATTGTTAGAACACTTACTCATCTGTTACTCTTAATAAAAATCTGACTTGCACAGCATAGTGTTGCATGCCTATAATCCCAATACCAGAAGGGTAAGGCAGGAGGATCATGAGTTCTAGGTAATACTGACCTACACAGCTAACTTTGTTAAAACAATAGCTTAACTTTGTTAAGCAAGATTCTATCACTATGAAATTCTGAAGTTAGTGTTTATAAAGTTCATTCCCTTCTTCTTTCTTTTTTTTTTTTTTAAAGATTTATTTATTATGCCTCCATTTATACCCACACGCCAGAGGAGGGCGCCAAATCTCTTTACAGATGGTTTGGATCCACCATGTGGTTGCTGGGAATTGAACTCAGGACCTCTGGAAGAGCAGACAATGCTCTTAACCACTGAGCCATCTCTCCAGCCCCCTCCCTTCTTCTTTCAAGTTTCTTTTCAAACCCGACCTATTTTTTTCCTGTCGACAGCAGACTAGTCACCTGAGTGGTGTAGGAGGTCCTTCTGTTTGTGTGTTGTGTGTTGGTTAATAAAGAAACTGCCTTGGCCTAGTTGATAGGGCGGAACTTAGGTAGGTGGAGAAAACAGAACTGAATGCTGGGAGGAAGAAGGGCAGAGTCAGAGAAGCCAAGGATCTTCCATCAGAGATGGACACTGGTTAGAATCTCTGTTAAGCCGCTGCCACGTAGCAATACACAGATGAATGGAGATGGGTTAAACTAATATGTTAGAGTTAGCCAATAAGAAGTTAGAGCTAATGCCCAAGCAGTTTTTTAATTAATACAGTTTCTGTGTGGTTATTTCGGGTGTAAGCTAGCCAGGTGGCCGGGACAAACAAGTGTGCCTGCTCCTTCTAACACCTGAGACTACTACTTCTTCACTGGTTCTCCTGCATTCTGGTTTACTTCCTGGACACCGAATCTCTCAATCAAATTTTGCTTGGGAAAGTTGGTGTATGAAATGTTAGCTGATCAGGGAGTTGAGGCAGGAGGGTTACAAGTCTAAGCTAGCTTAGGGGCTACATAGTGAGCTTAAGGCCAGTCTGAACAACTTACCAAGACCTTAAGTCTCTATAAGGGCAGGGGGTGGGGGAGGGAAGAGGTGGAATTGCTCAGGCTTTAATTCAGTGGGAAAGTGCTTGCTCAGCTTTTTTCCCAAGGACCAAGGGAAGAGAGGAAGACATGTGAGTAGCAAGTTGTGCAGAACCCCTATGAATGATGAACTCACTAAATCCAAACTCAGATTAAACTGACATGGTTCTTTTACTGCCCATATGCTAGAGGTCAAAGGTCAGAGACAGAGGTTGACACATAGGTGTTGAACAACAGCAGTTCATAGTCAGAAGTTGAGGACAGAAAGAGGTATTATCCACAAGCAAAGAAAGAAATTCCCATCTTCACCTTAACCTGGCTCCCAAATGTTTACTAGAACTTGATCAAAATGATAACCATAATACAGCAAGAAAAGGCTAAACTATTAAATAAAGTTAGAAACAAATATGTCAAGTTTGAGCCTGTAAAAGTTGTATCCTTCCTTCCTTCCTTCCTTCCTTCCTTCCTTCCTTCCTTCCTTCCTTCCTTCCTTCCTTCCTTCCTTCCTTCCTTCCTTTCCCTCCCTCCCTCCCCTGAATGGAAGCCAGAAACTCAAGCATACCAGGAAAATGTTCTGCAATGAACCTAAAGTCTTAGCCAGTCCTTCCTCTGCCCTGCAGCTCACACTTCAAGACATGGTATAGCCTTGAACTCGTCTCCCAGGTGCTGGTTTTACACTTGTGCTTCATAATGCCCATTTCTCTCTCTCTGCCCTCCCCTGTGTGTGTGTATACAAGCATGTATATATGTTCTTATTCCATGAAAACATTGATACAAGATGTCATCCATTGTGGAACCATATATCTGAAGCAGTGGGAAAAAATAGCTCCTACAAGGAAGTATTCTTTGGATTATCCTAGCCCTGTATCTTTCCCTTCTTAGCACTCTCCTTGTTCTACTACTTGATGTTCCAGTTAATTATGTTTAAAAGTATATACATTTTCTAGGGGACTTTTTTTTTTTTTTGCAGTATCAGGGATTGAACTCACAAATGTCAACCCGGCTGACTTAAAATCTTTGTGCATACGTGTGTGTGTGTGTGTGTGTGTGAGTGTGTGTGTGTGTATGTGTGTGCGCCTGGAGGTCAGTGCACAACTCTCAGGAGATGGTTTTGTGAAACGTGGGATCTGGGGATTGAACCATAGTCGTCAGGTTCATGTGGCAAGTGCCTTTACCCGAGCCATCTTGAAGGCCCTCTGAACTCTGACTTAGCATCCTTCTCAAGATTAGGCTAGGCTATCATATGCTAAAACCAAGAAAAAGGATGAATCAGACATCACACGAAATGGCATATATAGCAGAATTTGTATTTCCAAATAAAGTAACTGTATTGAACAGTTTCTGCAATTTTGAGTACTGCTAAAAATAATGAGTTATCCATTATTCATCTTAGCAAAGCTATAAAAACATCAGGAACCATTAGGAACTATAAATACCTAGCTACAGATACTTAACAGGAAGATAACTATGGTAGATAATAATGAATCTAGACAATTGTGTAACATTAAAATAATACAGTTAAAACACAGTTAATGTTTCTTTAAGCAAAATATTTTTCATGGCAGCCATTTTTGATATACAGACTAAAACTCAGACTGAATTTTTTTTTTTAAGATTTTATGTATTTATTATGTATACAGTGTTCTGCCCGCATGTCTGCCTGCATGCCAGAAGAGGGCATGAGGTCCCATTACAGATGTGGTTGCTGGGAACTGAACTCAGGACCTCCTGAAGAGCAGCCAGTGTTCTTAACCTCTGAGCCACTTCTCCAGCCCCTGAAATGTTTTTACTAGCTCAATAAAAGAGGAAGAAAAAAAAGATTGTGTGTGTGTGTGTGTGTGTTGGCCAGAATAATGTTGGCTACCCCGGGACTGGATTTATGGGTGGTTATGAATTGTCCAGCATGGATACTAGGAACCTGAGCTTGAGTATTCTCAAGTTCTTCTAACCACCGGGCCAGCTTTGCAGCCTCCGTACCAGCTCATTTTTTTAGTGTGTCACTTTAGTTAATTTATTGTTACCCCAAGAATGGTCCATCCCAAGCTTACTTAGCAAGTTCCATCCACCGCAGAACATCAGGTGGCAAGCAAGTCTTGCCCCGGACTCGTTTGGTAGGTGGCTGTTCTGGGACCAGGTGGAGTAGCGCCTCTTCCAGAAGACGGATACCTCCAGGCTGTTGCAGACTGGCCAGGCACCCCACTCGAACAGCAGCCGGATCAAGACTCAGCAAGTCTAGGTGTTGGCAACTGATTTCCTATAAAACCACATATAGCTGTTTAAAATTTGGATGACATCATCACAAGTGATTGTTTCATTTTATTAAATATAAGAGAAATTACTTTGCCCTAATCAGTAGTAGTAGACACTACTGATATCAGGAAAGTGTCTCTGTGCAATTCTATTAGCAAAATTCTTATCAACACTCAATTTGTGCAAAGGGAAAAAACAAACCTTTTACTCTTAAATTTCCAATCCAAGCATTCCAAAAAGTGCTAATTTATAGGAATATTTATGCACTTAGCTTCTGTTGTTAAGAAAAGCAGCTGAAAATAGATTTTATATTTATTTATCAAAAAGTGGGTATACTGACCTGCCTATTAGTCTTTGCAAACATCTTTCTATCAAGAGGCTAAATTATTTAATGACATTTGGAAAGATGATTTCATGAATTATGAAAATGGCCTATAAACAAAGTTATGAGAAATACCCTCAACTCACTATTCAGAAGATGTTTACTGTAGCATTCCAAACAGACTGGGGTGTACATGCAACTCTCTGCACACATCTGGACTTATATAGCACCCTAAGAACTTGGTCCCAAGCTCCCCTTGAAGTTGTAACACATATACATGTGGCTGCTGAGATGAAGACCAGAAGATTTCCAAAGCAAACAAATAAAAATGTCTGTCATCTTTAGAAAGGGCTAATAATACAAGAAAGAAAACCAAAATAAAACTATATTTCAGTCAACAAACTTTTATGCTTAAGACACAGAAAATATTCACACGCTGGTGGTAACCAGCAGCTATTTAAATAGACGTAAGACTCACTCAATAGCATTGAGTATCGGAAACCTATATATTAGAAAAAAATCTGCTACTGCCACTTTTCTAGACCAGCATAATTCCTTACTGTATTCCAAATCTTACTCTATAGTCAGAGATGAGTGTAGCTATCACCCCTCATCAAGGAAGCTTCACTTTAGAGAAAACAGAGACCATCACAGAGACATACTAACACGGAAAGGGACAATTTCATCATCTCTACCCCTGGATGGGCAAGGGAGAGTTAGCCTCGCCCAGGAATGAGCTCTCCTATTGGTTATTCCATACAAAGTGGTCATCCTTGAAACCATATACACACAAACAATAAAACCAACTCAGCAGATGGTACTGATGAATTTATGTATACAAATACATACACTAGCTGGGTGATGGTGGCGCACGCCTTTAATCCCAGCCCTCAGGAGGCAGAGGCAGGCAGATCTCTGTGAGTTCGAGGCCAGCCTGGTCTACAAGAGCTAGTTCCAGGACAGGCTCCAAAGCTACAGAGAAACCCTGTCTTCAAAAAAAAAAAACCAACAACAACAACAAACAAAACAAAACAAAAACAAATACATACACTATACATATATTTGACAATAGTAGCCAAAAGAGGGTCTATCAGTTTGAGACTGGGAATGGTAGTGGGATAGGCTGGAGGACGGAAAGGAAAGGGGGAAAAAGATGAATTCTATTTTAATTAAAAATGTATCAAAAACAGGGCTGGAGAGATGGCTCAGAGGTTAAGAGCACTGGCTGCTCTTCCAGAGGTCCTGAGTTCAATTCCCAGCACCCACATGGTGGCTCACAACCATCTGTATTGAGATCTGGCGCCCTCCTCTGGCATGTGGGCATACATCGAGGCAGAATGTTGTACACATAATAAATAAATAAATAAATAAATAAATAAATAAATGTATCAAAAACAATAAAAATGGAAAATGCTAAAATTTAAAAAGATTTTTACTTTACTGTATGTGTATATGTCTGTGTGAATATATGTCATGTGACTTTGGGTACGCATGAAGGCCTGAAGTAGGCATTGGATCCCCTCGAGCTGTATTTACAGGTAGTTGTGAGCCACCTGACTTAGATGCTGGGAACTGAATTCAGGTTCTCTGGAAAAGCAGGAAGCACTACTAACTGCTGACTCTGCTCTCTCTCTCCTAACATCATTTTAAAGATTAAAAATTCCTATTTATTGGTATAGGAGGTTCTTCTGTCTATGTGTTGCTTTCATTGGTTGAATAAAGAAACTGCCTTGGCCTTTTGATAGGGCAGCACTCAGGTAGGCGGAGTAGACAGAACTGAATGCTGGGAAGAAAAGCAGAGAGAGAGCCGCCATGGACCTGCCAGGTCAGACATGCTGAATCTTTCCCAGTAAGCCACAAGCTTGTGGTGACATACAGATTATTAGAAATGGGTTGAATCAAGATGTGAAAGTTAGCCAATAAGAGGCTAGAACTATGGGCCAGGCAGTGTTTAAATGAACACAGTTTCTGTGTGACTATTTCAGATGTAAGCTAGCGGGGCAGCTGGGACGACAAGCAGCTGGCTTGTTCCTGTTACAATTTATTGCACATGTATGTGTGTACGTGAGTGGGTAAATGTATAACATGTGCATGTATGTGGAGGTCAGAGGACAACTATGGGAGTCAGTTCTCCCCTCTGTCATGTGGGTCCTGGGGATAAAACTCAAGTGATGATGTTTGGTGTCAGGGGCCTTTCCTTGCTGAGTTTTCATGCTCATTTTCATTAGTTAAATATGAGAATCTGGTACGTATACTGAAGTAATAACTGAAAGTGTACTTATACTGCGTTCTCTGCTGCAAATGAGTCTCCTTGGAAGACTTCTCTGACCCAATACTAGATATCTGTAATGACAGCATACCTGACCCAATCAAAGGCCATTTACGTAATCTGCTAGATTACCATTCTGTACGATTTTAATAGTTCTGTATCACTCAAGCATATAGTTTAGTCTTTGTCTTATGTTTGTTGGTGATACTTGTGAAGAACGGAAGTTTGGGGTGGCATATGTCTCCTCAAGGCTGTGACAACATCACTTAGAACAAAGCCAGACATGTGCTCAATCAACACCTCAAGGCAGGAAAAATTTGCTGAAATACTACCAAACAAAACAACTAAACAAAATAAAGGGTTTAGGGCCTCAGGAAACGGCTTAGTTGTTAAATTCTGTGCCACGCAAACATGAAGATTTGAGTTCAGATGCCTAGGACCCACGTAAAACGCTGAGTACACCTAGAATTCCAGTACCTGGAGGCAGAAAGGAGTTTGCCTGCCAGCTGACCTAGCTTAGTCAGAGTTCCAGGAGTAGCAAGAAACACTAATCCAAAAAATAAGGTAGGTGGGGCTAGAAAGATGGCTCAATGGTTAAAAGCACTGGCTGCTCTTCCAGAGGACTCAAGTTCAATACCCAGCAGCCACATGCTGGCTCACAACAATTGGAACTCCAGTTCCAGGGGATCTGATACCTTCTTATAACCTCTGCAGGTACCAGGCATATGTTGTGTACAGGTACACATGGAGGCAAACATTCACACACATGCACACACACAGACGCACACACACGCATACGCACAGAGTTTAATCAAAATACTAAAGAGACTGGCTTATTAAAAGACACAAGTTTTGTTTTGGATTATTGTTATATACAAGGGTATGTTTGCGGAGCAAAAAGAACAAAAGACATATGTGCCCACTTAGAAGAGATACCCTAAAAACACATTCACTGCTAAACACCTTGTTTCTCGAGTTTCAGCTTAGGGCATGAGGTGTCAGACAGGAGCATAGGACCAAAAAGAAGTGTGTGCAAACTTTTACCTGGATGCAAGAGATAAAGGGTGGGAAGAATAAGAAAGTGGAATTAAGGAAACGGTTGAAGTCTTGAAGCAAATTTTGAGTGATGATGTTTTTTTCAGATGTTGTCTTAAATTTATTCATTTCTTTTAAAATCCCAGAAAACAAGCTGCTGAAGAGTTGCTTTGCAATTATTGGGTCTTTCTGTTAAAAATAAAAAAGAAACATAAATCAGACCTGAAGTAGTGTTTTAGAGCTTTACTTTAATTACCAACTGTTAAAAATATTCCATGTCTACATCCAGTTCACAGGATTTGAACAGGCTATTATACAAGGGGAAGGGCACCTAGAATTTAGTCAATTACTTCTGGCTTGATGTGGATTATGATAAGCAAACAGTCACAGTTCAAGCTAGGACCTCAATGCTTCAAATTGTGTGGAGACTAAGCTGTCAAGTGTGTGGTATCATGCTTGCGAAGACCTTGAAGAATGACTTCGACAGGGCTCCATGGCACTGTCCTGATGCATGTATGCATGCAACATCTGCGCAGTGAACATTTCATGAACACTTCCTAGCTCTCTATACTTGTTTAGTGAAGGCACACACACATATAAGAATAAAATTGAACAAGTACTCTATTTTACAAAAGCAACGTCAAAGCCACACAAATATGATTTGTCCTTTAAGCAAAAATTCTTGTTTAAACATTTATAATGTTACTATATAAAATTTTAGAAAATAGTAAGAATTATTGCTAGATCCTAGTATTTTATCAGCCTGTGTGCTTTCATTCAGCACGTAGTAGTCAGCAGGTTTGTTAACTGACCACTGATTCCTGAGAGCTACGTACAAATTCCTTCATTGTTGGAGAATTCTAAACACTCACTCTGTTAGACCAGTTGCAGTCACTGAAATAAAAATCCTCTTAGTTGGGGACGGTGCTGTACACCATTAGTCCCAACACGAAACAGAGGTAGGTGTATCACTGTGAGTTCAAGGCCAGTCCAGCTAACACAGTGAGTTCCAGGATAGCCAGGGCTTTGAAGGGAAACAACATCTCCAAATATTTAATTAATTAATTTAAAAATGCAAAAAATAAAACCCAACCCAAAAAACAATGACCTCAGCAGCAGGCAGTGCTGCCTGCTGGGCCTGTGACAGATACCATGGCTCCCAAGTATTTTCTAAAACAGGACAAGAAGCCTAGCCTGGCTCACACAACACTGCACCATGTCACTTAAAGAAGTTGCTGGCATATAGCAGGTATTCCATACACAAACATTTGTTTAATAAAGTACCGGAACTAGAAATATCAATCAGTACATCCCTCCTTAGAGAACAGAAGGAAAAAAAAAGTCTTGCCTCTTTGTAAAAAAAAAGTGCCCCAGTTTTGTTTTATATGCACATAAAGGGATGAGCTGATTTGATACAATCTTAGGCCTGTGATCTGCCAATAGCACTGCACATCATGATGCCTTTGGACAGGATGGAGAACACTACAGGACTGAGAAATAAGAGATTAGAGGAAGACGAGGGTCTTGTTCTTGCCCCACACTTAGAGGCACCTGTAACTTTTGCCATATATTCTAAGCATTACTAAACTTTTTAATTTTAATTTTTTTATTTTATTGACTTATTGATCGATTGATTTTCGAGACAGAGTTTCTCTGTATAACAGTCCTAGGTATCCTGAAACTAGCTCTGCAGACCAGGCTGGCCTTCAACTCACAGAGATCCACCTACCTCGAGTGCTAGGATTAAAAGCATGCACCACCACAGCCCAGCTAAGGGCTCTAGTTTTTTAACACAGCTACATCTAGGTTGAGTGTGCAATCTTTTGCTACAGTCACATAAGCTGTCTCCAGTGGTGGAAGCTTGATGAAGGGTACATGTACAATACGGTTTTAAAAAAGAAATTCCTGTCAACGCAGATTATTTAGATCAAACAAAAAGCATACAAGACACTGATCTAAATGGCTTATTTATCACTTCAAAATTTACACTGACTTCTTCCCATTATTCCAATATGATACTGGATAAGAAACATAAATGTCAATCTGATTTTAAAGAGGAAGGCCTTGTGGCTGAGAGCTCAGTGCCTAACATGGCACCCAGTGTTAGTGCATGCTTCTAGTTAACGTCTACAGTAGGGTCTCCTCATGTGACAAAAAAATTTCACAAAACTAGGAATTAAATTAAATTGAAACTACCATTTAAGGGAAACACCCCCCTTTAAAACCATTTTTTTCTAGAAAGAGTACAGACCCCTGGAACCACAAATGGAGCTTCTAACGTGAACATAAAACGCAGTATGTGGGCAGACCTGGGCCACAGCTTGCAAGGGGGTGATGAGACTGCTGTGCTGGATCTGGATGTCAGGAAGGTCACCATGACGATAGCTTCTGTACAGAACAACCTGGGCATCCTGCTTCGTTTTTAACTCACTCTTGATATCCTAAAATCACCAGAAGCAAAGAGTGAAAACAGATTTCATGTAGGAAAACCAAGTACGCCAAGTGTGGTAGTGCATGCTTAGGAGGTAAAAGGATAGGGAGGTTCAAAGTCACCTTTGGTTGAGGCCAGTTTAGGCTACCTTGCTTCAAAACCAAACAAACAAACAAACAAACAAACAAACAAACAAACCAAAAATCTAACCAATCAAACAAACAAACCAATCAACCAAATAAACAAAAACCCAGCCAAACTAAAGAAGATCAAGCAGGTATGCAAAATCAAATTGCCAGAACACATCTTTGGTATAAAAGTAATAATTTAATCATACTATAGTTTGGTCAGTTTGAAAAATTTGGTTTAACTGAAAAATTTGAATCTGAATATCCACAAAAGTATACATCTGAGCTAGGCTCCTTTCTAACCCTCAAACAGGATGCCTTGTCTAAGGTCCACAGTGATGCCGCACTCACTCACATGTATACTCCTCAGTCCCTGCACGCCTCTCAGTGTGCCTTCAACTTTTCCCTCATCAGCAGTTCCAATCTCAGGGGTCTCTCCAGAGACACTTTCCATAGATGTGTTCATAGCTTAGTTCTGTTGGAGTACTTTATAATCTCTACTTGTCTTTTTGTGTGTCATGTACTGGACCTAGCCCATTAACAAATCATCTCTTCATGGCTGCCACTTACTATAATTTCTGAGTATCATGCTTCAGAAACATTTATCAATGAATGCAAATACAAAAACATGGACTTCTAATGTCTAATGACTGGCTGGCAGCTTCACCACTGAGTATCTGTTTCATAGACACCAGGTTGATCTACACTTCAATGTTCTGCCATATCTGACTAACTTCTTGATTGTTTGTAGACAGGGGCCTTAAACCTGTCATCCTTGCATTCTCTATTCAACAGTTCTGATTTCTCATGCTTCTGATGACAAGATGCTGCCTTTCCTTCAGGCAGGGTATCAGGCTTTATCAGACCTATTTTTCCGAGGAAGCACTGGAGCCAGAGAAGGTGCTGAATATACCCCATTTTCAAGTGCAGTCTTCAAACAAGCAAGCAAACAAACAACTGTTCTATTACAGAGACAAGGAGAAAACAAAAAAGAAAAACTCAAGAACTGCTTATTTCATCGCCATTAAAAATGCAGAGGAGGGGGCTGGAGAGATGGCTCAGAGGTTAAGAGCACTGGCTGCTCTTCCAGAGGTCCTGAGTTCAATTCCCAGCAACCACATGGTGGCTCACAACCATCTGTACTGAGATCTGGCGCCCTCCTCTGGCGTGCGGGCATACATCGAGGCAGAATGTTGTATACATAATAAAAATAAATAAATAAATAAATAAATAAATAAATAAATAAATAAAGCAGAGGAACCATCCAAACACTACCTACTTATATCTGGAAGTCAAGTGGCTAAGGGATCACACTGAATTATAATAACAATAGGAGTCTTTAATCACAATCTATGTTAACTGTTGGTAATTTGGTTATTGCTGCTTTCTAAGTAAAACTGAAGCTATAAACTAAACAAGTTTGTTCATTATTTCTGCATATTACAAATTAATTCACTGGGCATGATGGCACATGTACTTATGAGGCAAAGACAGGTGTACCCCTTGGGGTTCCAGGCCAGTCTGGTCTATATAATGAGACCTCATGCCCCTCCCCGCCAAAATACTCATGTTCTACTTGTGTATCCATGGAAGCTTTTGGGTTGTCTGGTAGCCCTAACAGCCATGCAGTATTTTCCAGGTCCCATGGCTCTCACTCCCACTACAGTTTCAGGTCCTGAATTACAGTAGTTGTGCATCTGTCCCTAAAGAACAGAATTAGCGAGAGCTGTAAGAGCAATGACCAGCACTCGCATTTCTACCCATATACAAAGCCAGTCTGCACAGAGAAAGTAAAGCTAAGTAGTGGTGAGCAGAGAGGAGTCAGTTAGTCCTATGGCCCTGGGAACCTTGCAGACAAGGATTTAGGAAGGTGCCATTTCTTAGCAGGTGTCATGAATGTCCTTTATGCCTAGTAATGTCAGAAGGGACTTGTGCAGTGCTACTCCTGTGATTATGAAGACCAATGGATGACAGGATTTATTTCCGTAGTAAGTTCTCTGTGATGCAAAATAGGTACTGAATTCAAGAAAATACAAACCTTCTCTAGTTTTTGTTTCATGAGGCCCTTTTTGGCATAGAGCAAACTGAGGTTTTCTTGGTCCTTTAAAAATCTTCTGCGTAACCTCAGAATTTCTGCTCGATTGTGAGGACCTGAAGAATATAAAGCAGGTTTATCTACTCATGGCCAATTAAACAACATGTGCAATTGACTTCCACTCTTTCCCAGGATACCCCAAAGTGAAAGTGTGTGTTTATCTCTACTTTAAATTATAATTTAGTAATCTGCTAAGGACACAAACCCATAAGGAATAGCAGACACGGCTGACTAGCCGTTCTGACCTATAAGGAACAAGAGTTGTACCTGTCCCAGGAAATCCCAATTAAGTGGTGGACAAAGCAAGGACACAGTGTGGCACAGTCCAAAGACTCAGGGTCTGCTGCAACCAGCACCACCCGAGGGAAAGCAAGGACAATCAGCAGGTCTGGTATAAAGTGTGAGGTGGAAAAGGCCAGCCCAGAAAATAGTGCTGAGACAACTCGGAAACTTGTAGTTGTCTTTCTTCAGTAGTATCTAAAGAGTTATCAATCAAGGTGGAATAATTAGGTCCACGAAAGGTAAGACTGAAAGAGGAGAGGTTCTCCATACAATAGCCAGGAATGAGGCTGGAAAAGGAAGACCTGGAAGAAACTTAAGACAAAATATGGCTGGCAAGATGACTCAGTTGGTAAAGGAGCGTGTTGCCAACCCTGATGATCTGAGTTTGATGCCCCCAAACACATGACAGAGAACAGACTTCTAAAGTTGTTCTTTGACCATGAGTCATGGCACTGAGGGTAGGCACAAGAACATGTGTACAGACATACACACACAAATGTAATAATGACATATATTTCAAAGAAGAAAAATATTTATATTGGGACACAATAAGAGTATAATTCATGGAAATTTGATGATAAACATTCAAAGATCTAAGCATAAGCCAAAATAGTTATCAACACTCAGGGAAAAAATGATCATATACAAAACGACCCAATTACAAGTAGATTTTTTTGTCAAAGTAAGACGAAAAATCAAGCACCGAGGAGACAGATGCTAAGACATAATTACACAGAGGATGAGACCTCCGGCTATGACAAGGCATGAATGCGCCATAAGAAGGGTAAGGACAACAGAAAACCTCAAACGTCAGTCATGTGAAACCAGAAGACAATGAAGAATGATATCGGGAAAAGCAGCACTATAAAATCACTGCCTGGGCTGGAGAGACAGCTACTCATCCAGAGGACCTGAGTACAGTTCCCAGCATCCATGAGAATGCATGAGACCTGTAACTAGCTGAAAGAGATCCAACACCCCTTCTGGCTTCTGAAGGCACCTGCACACACATGGCACTGACTTACACAGATACACACATACACAAAAATAAAATAAAAATAAATCTTAAGAAAATAAAACCACTGCTCAGAGTTACTGAACACTAACAGGGTTATTTATAGGGGACTGCCTCTGGGATTTGGCTTTGTAGATAGGAAAACTGGCTTTTTTTTTCTACTTAGCTTTTGAGAAGTGTTTGACTCTTTAGTTTCTGTGCATATGCAACTGATCTCAATAATCAAGACAAATAAAAATATAAACAACAGGAGAGAGTGTAGCTCAAAGTGGTTGATTAGCATGTGTGAGACTCCAGGCTTTATTCAACAGCATCACAAAAAAATAAAATAAGGTGTAAAAGTCAGGGCTGGGGAATCCAGCAGTCAAGGTGTTAGGTTCTAACCTAACACTGAAAAAAGTCTTAAGAGAATTATTATTTGTGAAGTAACACTTAAACTAAGGACTATTTCTATTTTTTAAACTACATTTCTTTTTAATGATGATAAACAAAGTCCTAATTCATCATACTTTAAGAACTGCTCTCATAGTATGTGAATATTTTAAAACTATAAAAAATATAAGGGCAGATTCAAATATATTTAATATATTATCATTTATTTTACTTTAGATCTATGACTTAAGCTTTTCCAAATCCATACATAAAACTCACAAAAAAATGTTTCCAATTAAGTTTTACCTCTTTCCTTAATGTCTGCACAGACCACCGATTTCACCTATACCACACACACTCATTTTAAATCAGGCAATCCTGCAGATCAGTGAGTCATGGACAACTGCTACTACCTTCAGTAACTGTCCTCTTAAGTCTCAGCTTAAGTTCCATTCAATAAGGAGGCCAAATAGTCCAGAAGTGCCCTAACGCGGACCTGTCTTTAGTAGTTTGTCAGAGAAAGTATCAGGGAAAGTGGCATGCATCTAAGGATCTTGGATGGGCATGGGAAGGTGTCAGAGGACAGTTAAGAAGGTCTTCCTTTTGGGTGAGAGTCCAACCTTACAGCAAGACAGATGGCTCTGCATTCTAAGAAGGAAGAGTCCTGAGAAACAGCAAGTAAGGAGGAAGGGATGCAGAGAAAGTTCCTTGGCACACCCTAAAACTGCAGGTTAGTAGCAAAAAAGATGGCTGCATCTCCTTTTAAAAAGGGAGATTTCGAGAACAACATATGAGTCATAGATTTGAGACTGATGTCTATAAATGGTAGTTGGGAGTAAAACCTGGTGTTTTCATTTTACACTTCTGACTCCTTTTGGCTATGCTTGCTTCTAACTTTAGTTCTATGATCTGAATGCATGCCCATTTCCCCAAGGTACTTACTGTTCTCAGTCTTATAAAGAACTATCGTCTCCCCAGCACTTCCAGGGCTGAGTCTGCAGGCCTACCAGACCTTCCGCCTGTTAGGTTCCCATGGGCTCTGAAAGGAGGCCACCCCACCTACTCACCTTCAAACTGCTAAGGCCCAAGTGATAGTGCTTCTTTCTTTGTCATTCTTCTCATACTATGTGGTACCCACATATGTCTCTTTAGGGGGACCAGAGTCCTCATGAGTGCTTCTACTCCATCCATCAGGTGGTGGTTTCCTAGAGTACCCTGTTTCTTTCCTTTACAGGATTCTCCACAACTCTCCATGTTCCCAGGACATCTAGCTGGCTGGACTACACAGGACTCTCAGATTGGATTCTGCCCTTCATAGACCTTGCTGATGTAATTTTGAGTCTCTTCCACTCAACAAAAATATCACTTACCATTCTATCTTCATGCTTTTCGTCATTTCTCTTCCTACGTCCTAAGCTTCCAGGCTCTTCTCAAATACCCTTCCTCTATCCAGTCTTTCCAAAGGCTTGCTCCACACTGTGTCTGGATTTAAACTCTTACCCCTGAGACTGGGCTTACTAATTGTACCCAAATTACTACCTTACCTGTGTCCCTTATGTTCCAGAAAGTCACTAAACTAATGGATCTGTCACGCACATACTATTTCTTAAAGAATACCAACATGGTAAGGGTCCAAACAATGATTAATGTGTTGAATTTTAATGATTTTCCTTGCAGCTTTCAAGGAAATGTGGACAGTCAGAAATACGCTCTCTCCGTGTAAGCTTCTGCATGGGTGTGTGTGTGTGTGTGTGTGATACATTTTAAAGATGTTCCAGCATTTTGCTTACCACTTTTCACTTGGTTATCCACCTCATCACCAGGAAGGCCCAGTTTTTTCATCCCAAAGTCAGGTCCTACTGACTTCCAGTGTATTCTCTGTGACGTTTCACTCCTCTTGTGGGCAACCAACAAGGAGGAAGATGAGGATTCTGAAGGGAAGACTGTGTGATCCGCCAATGGGTCAATGCTGCTCCCAGTCAGCCAATCAAATGAGCTCCTTTCCACTACAACACACAGGAGCAGAGCAGTGAGGATGCTGCTACCTTGCAGCACCTGTAGAAACCTGCTGAGCACCCCTGCAGTGCCAGACCTCCACAATTACCTTTGACACCCACCGGGCTGAGGTCAAGGGTACTTGGTATGACCCACAGCAGACCAGCCACCTGAGCCTCACGACCCTCCCGCAGCTGTAATCATCAGCTGCAGCATTTTACGTTTACAGTGCTTGTCAAAGAATTTAGAGTGACTGTTCACACTAGTTCTACTTTCAGAAACAACAGAATGTGAAACAAGTTATATAAAGAAAAACACTGAAATGTTTATACAAAATGATTAAGTGGGCTGGAGAGGTGGTTCAGTGGTTAAGAGCCCTTGCTGACCCTGCAGAGGAGCTGGGTTCAGTTCTCCTTACCCACATGGGAGTTTACAACTGACTGTAACTCCAGTTTCAGGAGATCTAGCCTGACTCTAGCTTGTACTAGGTACTGTACGTACTACATGCATACATGGAGGCAAAGCACTCAAACACAAAAATAAAAATAAATCTTTTAAAAAGGATTAAGCTATTTTACTCTGTGATTTATATTTTACATATCAAAGTAATTAATCCACTGGAGAAGAATAGTCCAATAAATTACTGACATCAGTAAATGAATCTGGTTTACTGCTACTCTGCTCTTAAGATGCCTTGGATACAATGCATATTTGTCAAACCAAACCAAAATAAGCATGGCTAGCTACAATCAGATTATTATTCTTTTCTAAAATAATGTCTTTCTCTCCCTTAAAAACTGTGGAAGAAGCATACAGAAACACCCCATCAGCCATTTTTAAACGTATGATTCACTAGCAGTAAGTCCGCTCCCATGACCGCCATCCAGAACCTCTCCTGGGACAGCAGTGAGGCGCCGTAACTGCTTCAGTCCTTCTCCATCGCCTCCACTGGGCCCCAACAGCTGCCCCTTCCTCTCGGCAGAGCTGACTCCTCCAGAAACCTCTCTCCCTTTCCCCTCTGACTGGCACATCTTCCTTGTGGCCTCTGTGACTTTATCTTATTCCTTTATTTCTCTCACAGAAAGTTTCTGTCCTTGCAACAGGATGTCTGGTGACTTGTTACCTGTAGTTTGTGTCGGGGTGAAATCATAGTGCTGTTGGGTGGCCCGCACTTGCCCAGGCCTCTGCCTTCGGTCTGAGAGGGCCCCTTCCTGGGTTTGGGCATGGAGAGCACTTGGAGAGGCCTGGGTCTCCATAAACAGTGGAGTGAGAACAGTGCTTCGAAAACGCCAGTCAGGCTCTATAGTATATTCCTATAGAAAGAGGAATTAAAGAAAATGTTTCTTTCACAGTGACACTGAAATATTTCCATGCTTGCCTGGCATGAGTGAGGCTCTCAGGTCAATTCCCAGCGCCACAAAAACAAACGATAAAATTCAGCAGTACCATTAGCAGATACGTACTGTCACTTCGAGAAGCAACTGAGGAAGAACCCTCCTTTCTTTTTTGGTTTTTGAAAACGGGGTTTCTCTGTGTAGCCTTGGCTGTCCTGAAACTCCTTCTGTAAACTAGGCTGGCCTCGAACTCACAGAGACCTACCCGCCTCTCAAGTGCTGGAATCCAAAGTGTGCACTACCACCACCCGGTTCCTTCTTTCATTTTTGGGATAGGTAGAATACTTTGACTTTGACCTCTAGATATAACCAAGAATAACCTTCAACTTCCGCCCCCCCCTGACTCTAGCTCCCATGTATATGCACCACGGTACCTAGTTCATATGCTGCTGTGAACTGAATCTAAGGCTTCCTACATGCCAGGCGAACACTCTACCAATAGTTACATCTACAATCTACAGTCCCTAGAAAATCTTTGCGTCACCTTTATTATTTTTTTTAAATATTTATTTATTTATTATGTATACAATATTCTGTCTGTATGCCTGAAGGCCAGAAGAGGGCGCCAGACCTCTTTACAGATGGTTGTGAGCCACCATGTGGTTGCTGGGAATTGAACTCAGGACCTTTGGAAGAGCAGGCAATGCTCTTAACCACGGAGCCATCTCTCCAGCCTCTATTATTATTATTGTTATTATTATTATTATTATTATTATTATTATTATTATTATTATTGGTTTTTCAAGACAGGGTTTCTCTGTGTAGCCCTGGCTGTCCTGGAACTAACTCTGTAGACAAGGCTGAACTGAACTTACAGAAATCTGCCTTCCAAGTGCTGGGATTAAAGGCGTGTACTGCCATACCTGGCCAGAAGAACCTTTTTTTTTTTTTTAAAGCCAGGTGTTGAGGCATACATTTTATTTATTATATAGACACTGTTTTGTCTGCATGTCTGCCTGCAGGCCAGAAGAGGGCACCAGATCTCATCACAGATGGTTGTGAGCCACCATGTGGCTACTGGGAATTGAACCCATGTCCTCTGGATATCTCTCCAGTCCCCAGAAGATCCCTCTTCTAAACAAACACTTACTTAAAAAGTGGAAAAAATAATCACAATAGAGAGAAGCCATTCTTCTACCCCTATATTCTACATTAGAGGGCTGATGCCATAGTTAGCAATGCCAACGGTGCCACAACACAACTATCACTAGTCTTGCCACTCAGCTCACCCATGTGCTAAAGAACTACTTATATTTTACCTTTAGGCTATGTGCATCAGCTAGAAATGAAATACAAATGAAGTTCGTTATTTATGCCTGGCATCTCCCTATGACCTATTATCAAAGACACTTCATTTTTCTTTTTAATTTTCTTTTTACAGCAGAAAGAGACTGTTACAAATGGTCAAAAATGAAGACAACTAACCAAAAGATGCCCAATCCCAACTGATACAACTATAAGGCAACCTGTACCTAACTCCCAGGAAACATGGAAGAAGAAGGGCTGGAAAGACTGTAAGAGCCTGAAGACCAAGACATCTGCTTCAGGATTGCGTCTTCTCAATATGATGGGGGCTGCACCCATGGGCTCTCAACAATATGATTGCCCAAAGCTAGAGAAGCCCTGAACAATGACAATACTAGGTGACATGCCTATGTGGATGGGGGAAATCTCCTAAGACCCTACTTTTAGGTGAAAAGCTACAGAGAATAACTGCTGAATAAGGGAGAATCAGTCGTCTCCAAGGAAGAGGCCCCTAGTTAGTTATCCAATACCAAATGGTCGGCCCTAAAGACATATGCATACACACAACATTAAATGGACTCAGTAGGTTATATTTATATATTTTCACATGTGAATGTGTGTGTATAATAATAACAGCTAAAGAAAGAGGCCATGAATTTAAGAGGGAGTGCGGGTTGGGGAGTATGGATGGGACCTGTGAGAAGGGAGGAGAGAGAAGAGGTTAAATGATGTAAATACTATAAAATTCTAAGAATGAAAGAATGAATGAATGAATAAATAAATAAACAAACAAATAAACAGGTACCATTGGACATGCAAATATCTCAAAATCCAAAAATAACACAAAATCAAACCACTTGTAGTCCCAACAATTTCAGATAAGGGGTATGTAATTTGCACTAAGGAACACACCAGGCCATACCCATTAATAAGCTACCACAAGAAGCTGTGAACTTGATCTATGGCCACAGCTAAGCAGGGTTATGCTTGGATAGTATTTGGGTCAGGTGATGCTTCAACCCTATCTCTCCCAGGTAGGTGGGAGGAAGAACAGGAAGGTGAGAGGTCCAGTGGAGTCTGAGAGGATAAAGGGTGTATGACATCAGGGGAAAGGAAGCACGTGCTAGTACCTTAGAAAGGAGTATGTGCACATTTCAAAGTATTAACGATGTTAGTTTAACCATCTTAGAAGACATTCATTAACAACAGGGGAAACATGCAATAGTCACCATGACAAGCACTTCACCTGAAATTCACACTCGGACAGAGGATGCTCGAAGATTGGGTTTATATAATCTGGGCTTATCCTGGTCATTTCAAGCAGAAAATTTGTTGCTAAACTTAAAAAGTGAACTTCTATTTTTGGAGAATATAAAGAATTTAATGCCAACAATCGGTCCAATGTATTGGATGGTAATCTGGTTTCATGGCTCCAGAAATTCCGAATAATTAATCTGAAAAGTGAAGAGAAACACAGGCTTAGATACCAGCAAAGGGAAGGATGCAATGCCCACAGTGTCACGTGGGAACTCCCAGCTCTTCATTCACACAGCTCTCAGATGAACGGGAAGACAATCACAATATAGTCAGAGGTTCTGAAGGACAAATGTCTCCAACAACCGCACATCTGACACACTGGAGAGTTACAGCAATGAGCATATAGCACTAACAATTTTGTGACACAAAAGCATTTTAACAAGCCAGTAGTAGTTGTGGCTCACTCAGGGGTGGAGCCCTTGCCTATCACACAAGTCTCATGTGGATGCCCAGGATCAAAAGTGAATTTCATATAATCTTTACTGCTTTGTTAAAACAATTTTCTGCAAAAATTACTGTCACAATGTATTCAAAACTTAAAATCAAGTTAGGACCAGGAACAAGGGTCAGTTATTACACTGCTAGCCTGATACATATAAGGCTCTCAATTCAATCCTTAGTATTGCCCCAAGAGAAAAACAAAACAAAACATATTGGACTTTTCAACAGACAACTACGTATGAAATTTAAATATAAACTGTTAAAAGTTCAGTGCATTTAAAATTGAAGCCAATGAAAAGTAAGTAATATGTCAGATCATATTAACAACTGTCCTTGTTCTGTGGTTGGCATTTGATAAGATGTTCACACAGCTGAGTTAGGGCACTTCAGAGAACAACCGTTATTGTTTGTATCTCCACATAGAATAAACATATGGTGTCTTCCTAATGCTAAGGTGCCCAACACTTCATTTAACCTTGATATTACCATGATTTTTAACTCTATGTGCTAAATAGAAAACAGAACAGTTGTCATTACAGTCTGTTTCAACTTAAAAAATCTTTAACCAGCCCACTGCATAAGCACGTTGCCCTAACCATCTTTTCACAAGTTTTATTTTCAAATAACCTGTCAGGATTTCAAAATCTTATTCTTCATGTGATTTAAAACACATTTTTCTAAGGATTAGAAAATGCAAGAAGCAGAGAGAACGAAGGCACCAGAGTAAACACTTTAAGCTAGTCTATAACATAACCGAATCCTCATCTAATTTATTCCAGAAGAAGCACACACTGGAGTCCAACGTTCTCATCAACCAGTCCTTGAATCAGCACATCCTTGGCCAGGTTAAAAATTTCCTTGGAGTCTTGATCCATTTGACTTTCTGGATCTCTGTTTGGGAAAATAACAAAATATCAGTATTCTGCTCTGCTCCAATCACACAGTCTGAATTAAAGCAAAGGTGGGTTTCTATGAGACTGGTACCCAAGGCAATTCAGTAGAACTGCAAAAGGTGTGAGATCAGGTCAGATCTTTGTACGCTGAGTTCTGCCTGTTACCTCTGCAGGTACCTGAGGGATATGTCTCTTAAAAGGTGGTGGCGGCGTATGCCTTTAATCCCAGCACTCAGGAGGCAGAGACACTCATATACAAAAAAAAAAAAAAAAAAAAAAAAAAAAAAGCCAAAAAACCCAAAAACCTCGATTTAATCTGTGTGCACTCACGTGTGTGCACATGCATGCAATGCTTGCAAAGACTAGACAATAACAGTAGCTATCTTAGAGCTAGAGTTACAGGAAGTTGTGGGAGCTACGTGTCATGGGTAATGAGAATTAAACTCTGGAAAAGCAGCAAGCCTCTTATCTCTCCAGCCCGACTCCTATATTTCTAACTCAATTGATAATTTTACTTTCTATTTCCTACATATTCATGAAAGAATAGCAAAAAAGGATCATTCGTCAGGTGGTGGTGGTGCACGCCTTTAATCTCTGCACTCAGGAGGCAGAGACAGTTTTTTGTGAGTTCAAGGCCACCCTGGCCTACAGAATGAGTTCCAGGACAGGCTCAAAGCTACACAGAGAAATCGTCTCAACAAACCAAAAACAAACAAACAAAAATGATAATTCAATATATTGAAATAAACTTGTTTCAGCTATTAGTCATATTGCTAAAAGTGTTTTCTTATATTCCAAATCACAAAAAGTACCCACACAAATCCTTCAAAAATGGTTAACAGAGGCCTGGGGAGATGGTTTGGTGGGTAAAGCAACTGCTGTGCAAGCATATGGAACTGAGTTCAAACCCCTAGCAAAGCTGGGGAAGTAGTGCACATCTGTGATCCAAGAGTCTCGCTAGCCTGCTCTACACAGTCATGTGTACAAAATACAGACCGTGTCTGAAACAAGTGGAAAGGGAGGACCAAAACCTGAGACTGTCCTCTGATTCCTGTGTGTGCAGAGGCACATGTTTGTAACGCACACACACATTCACACATATCATACACAGGTTTTTATAAAAGGGATATAAAACAGAATGAAGGCTAACCTGTAATTGTCGTGAATCCACATAAGAATATTATACATTTGCTCTCTACACGTTGGAGAAGGATGGGAAACAAATTCCACAACAGGATGCAGAAGTTCTCGAAGTTCTACTGGTTTTAATTTTGCTATCATCTTATAAACTATATCCAAACACACCTTTTGTCTTTCATCATCTCTATAAGAAAGATTTTTGATAACACATAAATTTAATGATGTTTATTATCATACTTACAAAGTATGACAAGCAATATTTTCTTCTTATCCTAAAGTTTCAAAACTTTTATAATTCAGAGTAGTACATTTAAAGTCTACTAGTGAAAGCAGTAATCCAGACCCAGAGAGACAACTGCTGCATGTTCTCTAGTAATTGGAGCCTAGCTTCAAAACTGGAGATTTATGTGTTTAATTGTAGTGTCTACAGAAGTCAGGAAGCTAGAAAGGACCCATTAGACGGGAGAGGGGAAGAGGAGCTAAGTGGGGAGTAGACAGAAAAAGCACTTGTGACATGCAAAGTAGATGAAGCATGGGGTAAGGATAAGGGAAAGAAGGAAAACTACAAGGGGTGGAAAGGTTTAAGGGGGGACTGGGATGAGAGGATGGGGCTGAAGAAAGTTTGGGGATATTACCCATAACAAAGGAGAGCCTTATAGAAACGTATTACTTGCAAGCTAATTGCCAGGTGGTGGTGGCGCATGCCTTTAATCCCAGCACTCAGGAGGCAGAGGCAGGAGGATCTCTATGAGGTTGAGGCCAGCCTGGTCTATAGTGTGGGTTCCAGGACAGCTATGGCTACAGAGAAACCCTGTCTCAAAAAAGTAAATAAATAAGTAGTAGATTTTTTTAAAGTGTTTAAATGAGCTAGCTTGTAGGGGTGGACAATACTGCTGACACAAGCTATGGGTTATTAAATGAAAATCCAAAAGCCAGGCATAGGCCACCTCTCTATGCGTTGATGGTCAAGAAAGTGCCAGAGAACCTCAGAATAATGCAGGTTGTTGCTATTATACTTAGTTGACCATTAGAACTAGATGATAAGACCCTACTGCTGAAGCATCATACAGTGTGATTGCAGGACACAGAGAAATAAAACTGGAACTGACTTGAAAACTTCCTCCCTGATGGCTAGCTTTCATAGTTCTGGAAGGTGCTATGTTACCCAGGCCACTGAAGAAGAAAAGTCATCACTGGTTCTACCTAGTGGTAGAACCCACACACAAGGCAACAAGATGTGCCGACTGGTACAACAGTGCTAATGAATGCTACAGGGGTTACCAATGGCTTTCGGATTAGTCTGAGGCTTGATCCATAAAAAGGAATTCAAGCCTGTACTATAAACCCTGTTGAAAGCTCATGGCTAGGAAGGTCATAGGCCTTAGAGGGTAAAACTTACTACTGTTGTTTTGCTAAATAATACACACCTTCTAAGTATCTATATTTGTACCCATAGATTAGTGATGCTCTCAATCTTGGCCAGTAAAGTTTGTTTTTGTAAGTGGATAATGGTCACAAATGGACAAGGTGCTGAGAAGTGACTATTGATTGTTCAGTCTTAACAAGATAGCTATTTAAGCCATCCAGCCCCCAAAGTCTCAGGGAGCATCATTGATCCAGAGTAGAAAGAATGGTAAGAACCTAAGAATACTGTGAAGTGCTGTCTTCAGGACACAAGCTGGCCACTGCACACATGTACTCATTGAAGCATCTGCCCAGGACTGAGCCTTTTAACATTCTACCACCGGCATGTGATGGGAGCTCATGACAGTCCACTCCTAGCTGAGAAGCTATTGGTAGTTTATACTTGCTGGGGGACTGTGAGTCGTTTTTCTTCAGTGGTGTACCCACTAGTATGTTGCCCATGATCCAGTAAATAACCCTACATTTATGAAGGTACAAGTTAAACTCAATGGACTAGAGAAAGTGTGGAGGAGAGGTATAAAAGTCAGAGCAGGGAAAGGTGTTAGGAAGAAGGGTTCTATTGGCAGTGAGAAGGGAACAGCAGAGAACTGGGAATGATTCTTATCAAAAGGCATTACAAGTGTAAAATTGTTAAAGAATAAATAAAAAATTATTTTAAAATGGAATCATAAAAGACTACTATTTACAATGGAACACCCCGCCCCCTGCCAAAATAGCCAATCAGGAAGAAACTGGTGAGTTCCAGGTGCATACACCCAAGGAAGACGAAAATGTAGAAATTTGAAAATATGAAGTGACTAATAATGAACGGCAAGCTTGAAGCAATAATTCAAAACAACACACACACACACACACACACACACACACACACACACACACACAATCCAGGGTCAAATAACTTTATGGCTAAAGCCTACCGAATTTTCTAGTTTATTTGATAGTGATGTCAATTTCTTAATTTTAACAATCATGTAAAAGAAGAGATGAAAGGATATATGGGAATTTTAAATGGTATCTTTTAACTTTTTTGCAACTATAAGATTATTATTTCAAAATAAAGTTCATTTAAAGAGACAAATGGTGGCAGACAAAATAAGCTAAAAATATGAAGGATTTAGTTCAAAAGCAATTTCAGGTGCTACCTAGTACATCAGACAGTAATGTAAGTGTGCCCTAAGTCCTAAATAAGCAAGTGTCTTTCCTTATCTAAGGGTCTCATATTCCTTAAAGAAGTCAGCTTTGAGTACGTACTGGAAGAGAGCAGAACATAAAAGGACATTTAATCTTTGTTATCAGAACATTACACACTTACCAGTATCTTATCACTGTGAAAGTACATACACACAGATCACAAATGTAAAGGGACCAACTGTTTTATTTTAAAATTACTGTCTACTCTATGGCATCTTTGAAGAGAAGTGAACGATTTTAGCATAAGAAGGCTCTTGCCCATCAAAATAGAACAGAAATGTCATGTGCAAATCTCAAGTGAGCCTGAGGCACTACAGTACAACAGTGTTCTTCATTTGTGAAAGACATATGCAAGGATGGGACTGGACATGGCTACCCAAGGCTCCAGAAACAGAGCGGCTGTGCTGGCTCACATATCACTCCTATACTTTCATTTCTTTTACAAATATGCTTCTCTTGAACAGCCACCCACAAGTGGTTCCTAGTGTAGAGATACATGGGCAACTGGACATTTTGTGACCAGGCTATACTCTGGGCAGTGAGGCCTCATGTTACCTTACCTATGTTTCATGACTTGGAGAAAGTCCTTACTCTTTAGCTGTAAGTACAAGCCTGTAGTCATTTCTGCACGATAAAGCACAACCTCCAGGCAAAGTGTCTTCATCACTCCGTGAAATTTTGGCAGTAGAAAGAACACGGCATTCAAGAAACTGGTAAGTAAGAGGATTCATGAGAAGATGGCCCCGACACTCTCCCTCAGCCCCTACTCATTGGTTCACCTCCTGTGTTGTCCCTACCTGTCAGCTAGAGGAGGGAAGCCCTTCACTATTTTGTTTAAGCACACAATAAATTTGTCTTCCATAGTATTTTGATGTTGCTTTAGTTGTTTTACAACCAGTTCATATATTGACTCTGCTATCACCTGAAAAATAAAGTTTCTTTTCAAACATACCAAAGTGGAACATTATGTTAAGCGCTAAAATCTAAATGTATTTTAATTATTTAAGTCAACCCAAGAATATGTCCAATATTATGATCTTCACCAAGGTTCACACTCAAGTGATGAAACTGAGTGCAAGGAAGAGCCGCTGGTTTGCATTAGCCATTGGACAGCCACAGGGTTCCCACGCCTCGACTGCAGTGAGTGAGCAAGGCCACAGCTTGGGCACTGTGTTTCCTTCTGACATAGAAAGTAAGTCTTCTGAGAGGATACAAGTAGTTTTAGTTTAATGTTTATCAAATACAGTGCAATACACATTTTTTAGGTACCTTGGTCAAATACGCCTATTGAGTTCTAGCAACTCTCGCTCAACAGACCCTTCCATGGTCTTCCTGCATATATCACTCTCTCTCTTTATCATTCATTACTACTTTTAAATATTCATTTGTACACTGTTGGTTTTCTGACCCAAATTCTATCTCTCTCATAGCAGAGATATGGCCTACCTGTTTCCTGCTGAGCCTCTAGGGTATAGAATCAACTTGTAAGTCTTCAAAAGCAGATATTCAGTATAGACGATGTACTCAAGGAAGACTTTTTGGAAGTCATGAAAATACTCATTTCAGTTGTGTCTCCCCACAAATATGGAAAATCCTTACAACTGTTTAAAGGCATAAAGTCTAAATGGATAGTTTTTCAACACAAACTTACTGCTGAGACTATTTAAAAGTTATGTGCAGGGGAAATTCTTAACCATAAATTCCCATGATTTTAAATGTCATGTAGACTATTTTAATTATTTCACTGCTAACAGATACATACATCCAGTGTATGTTAGGGCTGAAACTACAGATCAACATGGAGTGCTGCCTGACTAAGATGTAATATTACTTACATTAAATTAAATTCATTAAAAGTATTTAATCTGGTGACAGGATAAAATGGTCAGTTTAGCAAGTAAAGAAAGAACAGGACAGATCAGGCAAACAGAATACAGGACAGGTACACTATGGTTAAGAGGACCACCTGGGGGTAGTGGCTGCCTAGTTAGCCAACCTGAACACAGCAGTGAGAACTCACCACTGCTTGCTGGCTTTCGAGCTGGTGGGGAGGGCAGGGCTTCATGCACTTAGGCACGCCTCAGTCCCTATGCAGCAGCCCACCACAAGTGCTATGGAAACACGGGATGTGCACAGTGTCCGTTTGTCTCAAGGAGGACACGGGCTAATCAAAATCAGAAGACACTGCAGCACTCACGTGTTTCCTCTCAGTAACATGTTGAAGAGTCAGTCCTAGAACCTCTGCTGCAGCTGCATAAACCTCTTTATACTTCACAAAGGACATGTTATTGACCAAAGCTTCAAAATATCTGTAATAAACACAGAAAACAAGCATAAAAACAATCCATTAGAATGCTTGACATAAAAATGAAACAATTCTCTTCCTGTTATATTAATAGGAAAATTGAGAAAATATAAATATAAAATGTGATGCAATTTGCTTGAACATAGATTTAAATGTGCATGAATATAGATTTATGGGCTGTCATCATAACCATGAAAGTCTACTGTCAATCTCTGGTCACCAATGAGAGGATAGCTCTCTGCTAGACACCAGAGAAAACCACAGGAGATAAAGACGGGAGTATCTAAGACTAAGATTCCCTGTCAGGGATACCTACCGACAACACAATGTTGAAAAAGAGAAGGGTGAATTCTCTGTGCAGGTAGTGACACATTAACTCTTGGTCTTTACAGGCTCTTTGTGGTAATAAAGATGATTTAAAAAAAAAAAAAAAACAGGTGATAAAAACAGGACTCCAAAAGCTCACATTTGAAAACAAGAGTTTTTTTAGTCTATGCTGAGCTACTGGCTGCCTTAGCTCTGAACCCACACTATCTATAGCAACAGCAGCAATATATGAACCGCCAATAGGAACCAACCAGAACTGAAATTGCCCTGTCTCCCCATAGAGGTGAGAGGTCCAGGAGTGCAGGGCCAAACCTACACAGCATCATAGAGACATCAACTTCAAAAATCTTAAAGAGCAGGGCAAGAAGCCAGCATTTTGGTGCACACCTTTAATCCCAGAACTTGGGAGGCAGAGGCAGGTGGCTCTCTGAGTTTGAGGACAACCTGGACTGCAGACCAAGTTTAGAGCTATGTAGTGAGATCCTGACTTTAAAAAAAAAATGGCCAATACCTTTTGTCATGTTCTAAACTATATCTCTATAGCTTCTTTCATGGCCATCTTACTTGAATATGTGATTGCCATCAGGACAGGGGAAATTGAGGCTAGAGCCCAGGAAGAGAGCTGCCAGTATAGGGGTTCCCCTTCAAAGTCAAAACAGTTCAAATCCTCTTATAGAGCCCACAGTACTTACAAGAGTCAATGTTTAAAATGCCAGTTTCAAAAAGAAGAGGGCAGGGGAAATAGATCACTGGGTAAGACAATTTATTGTATAAACATGGGGACCTGAGCACCCCCACAAGCATATCCCAGGAGCTGGCTGGCCATCCAACACAGATGAAAGGGAATAAAGCAGAAAGTAATAAAGAAAGCCAACTGATGCCTTCTGCTGGCCTCTGCATCTACATGCATGGGTAGGAGCCCTCCCACACACGCAGGCATCCTCCACAAGCACAAAAGGAAAAAAAGAAAAAGAAAGTACTTAACAACTTCTGTTTAAAGCTATATACAGAAAATTACATTAATTAAAGATTTTCTATTACACTTATTTATTACACAGTATATGTGTGGAGTTCATGGAATAGCTTGGGAGACTTGGTTCTCTCCTTCCATCAGCGCATCCCAGGGATCAAACGGAAACCATCAAGCTTGGCAGCAAGCACCTTTATCTTTGAGCCTTCGTGATTAATTAATTAATTAAATTAATTTTTTATAACCTACATTCCTCCTTCACTCCAGATATATTTCTCCTCCCAAATGGCTTATAAATTCAACCTTATAATTTTAGGTACAAGTATTTGTGTCTGGTTCTTAAAGGTATCAATATTATATTTGAAAATTATATCCAGGGGCTGGAGAGATGGCTCAGAGGTTAAGAGCACTGGCTGCTCTTCCAGAGGTCCTGAGTTCAATTCCCAGCAACCATGCGGTGGCTCACAGCCACCTGTAATGAGATCTGGTGCCCTTTTCTGGCCAGCAAGCATACAGATAGACAGAACACTGCATACATAATAAATGAATAAATAAATAAATAGATAAATAAATAAATCTTTAAAAAAAAAAGAAAATTATATCCAAAGACTTTATAAAAGAACCAAGTAGAAAGCATGTACTTACTTGGTACTCGGTATGCCACACTTCGGGTCGTAGGGAGGCAAGTCATTAGCTATTACAATGCCCAATAATTGAATTCCTACAGAATTGTCTTTAGAATTAGGGTCCTTATGTGAAAAATTTTCAAATATTAAACTGTAACACAGCACAAGGGAGAAAACACATAACGAATGAGAAACAGGAAGATAAAGCAAATTTTCAGCTAAATAGTACAAGGAACACTTGGCCCTTTCCTACTTCCAAGAGCCCTACTTGTTGATACCCACTTGTTAGTTCTTGGCTATTCTAATTACTTGTCCCAACCCTGTCAGCTAATAGTAACTTTTTAAAAGTTTTAGTTCACTTCAGGCTAGGAAGGCTACAAGTCATCCAGCAAAGACTGTGAGGTACCCCTGGCTGGGGTGGCGCAGGGCAGAATACTTCAGTTGCCAAGTGAGGAGGCAAAGTGAGGGAAGGGCTGAAGAGCTGGGTGGGGAGCCACTGAGCACCCAGAAATGCTTCTGGTCTTAAACTTTGGGGATGTGGTTTTATCAGTAGCAAAATTTACTTTGTAAAAGAACTTTATTTCAAATTATTACTAAAATTATTTTTGGCTTTGACCATCCTTTATAATTATATTCCTGTTAATTCATGTAATTATACTTCATTGTCGTTACCATTTAAAACTTGCTGCACTTTGACCTTTTTCTAAGAAATAGCAAATGTGTACCTGTAAGGGATGGAAAGACATTCCTTCCAGCATTCAACAACGGTTTTAATAATTTCAAGGTTGTGTCTGAACACAGCTCTTTTGGGATGGAAGACATGTTTCATTAGAAAATGAAGCAATCGATTTGCTAACACTTCATCTTTAGAGACCCCCTGAAAACACATTGAAATTTTGTAAGACAAATAATATTCTATTCTGGAAGAATATCTCACCCCGCCCCCATTGCTGTTGTTGCTTTGAAACAGGTTTCCACATAGCACAGACTCGCTTCAAACTTACTAAACAGCCGACGCTGCCCTTGAACTACTGAACCTCCTACCAGTACCTCCAAAGTCGTGGAACTGTAAACCTGCACCATCCTGGCTGGCCTTGGAAGTAACACAAATACCCAATTCTAAAAGAGACCTCGCATTCTATTTAGGAATCTAGTTTCTGGTTAAACCCTATGTGGTTTTTCACTGCTGACTACAGACAATACCCTTCTTGGGTAGGTAGGTGGGAGAAACTGGCTGCTCCGATGTGTACACAGTCAATGCACTGTGCCCTCAGGGCTCAGGCCCTGGTTGGCCATGTTCTTCAAATTCTTTGTGCAGAGATTCATTCCCAGTCTCCGTCTGAGACCCCGACAACAGTCCTGTCCAGGTCCTGCTGAGTCCTGATATAAGGCGGGAATGGAATCATTAAAGCTGGTTTCTCCCAGTACCCACTGCACTTTTCATACCTCACTGTCTCCACCTCAGATTCAATGAAGCTGCAAGAGCCCTTCTTTCTGGGTCTTTCATCACTGGGCCACCTGATACCTGCTGGTCTTCTATCCCAGTGCTTCTGCTCCCTTCATCACAGGAAGTTACCAAAAGCAGCACTACCACTTCCTTTTTCACTTCTGTTGCTATGCCAATGACTGGCAATTCCACTTTCTCAAGTGTAGTTGAGCTCGTGATGGTCTCTCTGATGGCTCATAAGCTAATTAAATACCCCACTTTTTTCATGCTATTAACTGTTTTATCACGTAACACCAAGAAATCTAGATTTAGTTTATTGTGTAATAAACAAAATAGGGACATCCAGACACTAAGATGTGAAAAAGCTACCCAAGTGTCTATTAAAGATGTTGCATGTGATAAACTTATGTACACCTTTGTACACTACCCATGTTCATGTTTCCAAATGAGTAAACAAAGCTCCACCACACCCACCTACAAGGGTCCAAACCATCTGCTCTAAGAGGCAATAGCAGTTCCTTGGCAGTCACTCACAACAATTTCCTGGATAGCAGCTAGCACTGTGAGAGTGAATAAACTATCATATAAGTGTCCCCAAATCCAGGGACCTGAAGCACAGAAGATGCTCTCAATTATAGAGATAATCTCAACAGTTCTGTCACCCAGGTTCCAGTCTCCTAGCAAATAAAAACAATAAACAAAACCACACCTAACAGTTTATAGTAAGAAAGGCAAGGGCAAAGGGATTACCAAGGTAGCTAGAAGATAAAAGTAAGAAGTGCTACAATGGAGATAGGTGCATTACAGCCATGCAACTAGAGCTAAAACAGCAACATCATGTCACAGGGACATTAGCGCACCTGACACCCCAATGTAGGGCATCAGAAAAAGAATGATATATTACCACTTAAGAGAAGCAGTAGCATAGCTACTTACTGTAGGCGTAGCCAAGCCTGTCCAAGAGAGAACAGTAGCTACTATTTCCACCACCATGTAGTGAATTCCTTCTCCGTTGTTCTGGGAAACAGCCAGCTGTAGCAAGGGGCTGAGCCAGTGCTTTGCATAAGGGCGAAAGACCTACAGAGAAAATTTAAATGCCAAATATAGATAACTGCTCTCAAGACTAAAGTATTAACACACAGATATGTTCTCCATCAGCTGACAATTTATGACTTCATAGAAATCTTCCATTTACCAAACTCAGTAAGATTCGATTTACATTGAATCAGCTCAAGGACACCTAAATATTCAATAGACATAGATTTACAATGTATCTCATTATTTAAAATTCAACAACTCTGTCCTGAGTAATATGTAGCTATAGAAAATTATTTAATACACATGTGTAAAAATATAAGAAATAAAGTTATAAAAACCAGAAGGCACAAGTACTTAAGTATTTTAATTTCTTCCTATGTTCTAAGTCACTCTTTTTTAAACACATTTTAAAGATCTCTGGAATCTAGTAAGAATATACATATACCAAATTAAATTTCATTACTTTAAAATTGCAGAATGTCACTTTGGTGGAAAAGATTATAATCGAAACTATCTTCTAGTCTTCCCATCTTCTCCTTTCCAAGGAGATGCCCATAGGATCAAAACTATCTAGCATACTCTGTCTATATCTCTAGTTTTACTATAAACTATACACATGTGAAATTCTTTATCATGGTATTATAGTATAACAAACACCTAAAGGCTAAAATGTTAAAAATGAATGCAAATATAAGTTTGTTCTGTAAGGTGAAAACTGTCTGGGTTACCTCCTTTTGGAGACCAGAACCCTAAGTGTTCCTTCCAGTCTATACTTATTCTTAGCCAAAAGGTCAAGAAATCTACAGACACATATACCAGGCTCCAGGATCGTGGCCAAGAAAGCTCCCCAGGCCCTCAGTTTTAGCCGTATAATCACAGTGGCAGTGTAACGGGCTTTCCTGTCAGCTCTGAGAAATCAACCAATAGTGCCCAGCTCTTCTGTGGCAGCTGTTAACCAGCATTTGGAAGAACATGAGCTAGAAATCATTTGTGCTCCCGAATATTATGGACTGTATGCCCCCCTAATCTGTTGTTCTCCAAAGAAACTTTCAAAAAATGACCTTATTTGGAGACAGGTTATTTCTTTATACTTCTCTTTATATTTATACTTCTGTATGAGGACACACTAAGTCCTTATAAAAAGGAAATTTAAAGACAAAAACACTGAGGAGGCAGTATGAATATAAGAACATCAACCCCATGCAGAGAATGCCTGAGACCAGTACAGGATCAGAGGAGCCACCTTTGATTTTGGATGTCTGGCCTGCAAAGCCATCGTACAAGCCTCACTGTATCCTGGGACAGTAGGACTTCTACTGGTGGGAGTACACCTTTCTGGCATATGTTATATGCAGAAAACCTAATGTATTTACCTATTACCTAGATAAAGATAGCCATTTTTCATAAGATAACAGGAATATTTTAACCCATCTATCTGCTATAGTAAACAAAGAAGGCTTGCAGCCTTAGAAAGGTGCCAAACACACCATATAGAAAGTTCACCTCTAACTCCCGATACTAATTGAGACGTTTGACCAAAGCATTCTGAAGATCTGTATAAATGTGTTTGGTTGATTTATTGCAAGAATAACAATTCCACGTTCTATTTCTTTAACACTCCATCGTTGTAGTGTTTTCAAAGTTGATGCTCAAAACTGCCCTGAACTGTTAAATTTAAAAAAATAAAATTACATACCTCTTCCGTATTAATAACAAGCTTGGCTAAGAAGAGACGGATATTTAATGGGACTGATTTATTTTCTAGTTTGTCATGAAGAAATTTCATCCAAGGAGGAAGATCTTTTGGCTTCGAATCCTGAAGTAAAACACACACTTACTCTGAAAACTGTAGTAAAAGAACATCCTAGAATCTGTCTCTTTAATGTGCAGTGTGGTTTAGTCAATATGAAAGCTAATCCCCGAAGTAACACCAATGGATAACATTGAGAAAAACATAAGATTAGGAGAAAAATACCTCTTCTACCCTGGGTGTAATCAGATTTCTCTGCATGTGCTTAATCAGGGCTGTCATGGTAGCCATGCATTCGTGTTGGTTGAGTTCATCCATCTCTAACTCCAGGATGTCACCTTGGGTCATGGGATCTTGTTCCTATGAAAAAGAACCCAGCAATGCAGATGCCACTGACAAATGACAGTGGATACAAGAAGCTCATTTAAGCGGCAATAGCTGAAAACAATATAACTTAGCTAAAACTAATAATTTGGTAATAATATAAAACACACTTGGGATGTTTTAATTTACAACCAAAGAGTGAACAGAACCTCAGGTTTTCCTTACAGTCCAAGCACATAAGCCCTGACTGCCATTTGCCAAGGCACACCTCAGTTTGACCACCCCTGCTGTCTTGACCTCAGCTCTATCCCTATGCTCATTCCTGTGTGGTCTTGACCTCTAACTGATGAAATCTGATTGCTGAGTTAACAATCAAAGGACCTGGCCTACACCTTAGAAGTTCTCCAAATCAACATTACTATTCCAGGGCAACTAAGGCTGACAGAAAGCCTGATTCCCTAACAATTACTAGGCACAGCAGTAGCTCATTATAAACTGCAACAACACTCTTAACGTGAGAAATGTGATCACCCGTCTCTGAAAATGGCCAGTGGGAGGTTTACGATCTTGAAAGCTGTACGAGTAGCTCTGAACTCCAGTTGAAAAATCAAACTGACTCATTTCTTCACTTAGGCTACTCTCTGTGAAATATGACAATGAAGACATATAATGAGGACTGCCTGAAAAATAAACAGAAAGGAAATATATTTGTACTCAAATACAACCAGTAAGAAATGTTTCTCAAAACTCAAATAATATTGAAATTAAAGGATGCTTCAGCTAAGGCTTTCACCAATCCTGCTCTTCCAGTCCACTGTACAGATAAGCAAATGGAACCCAGGAAAAAGCTCCCTTGCTTTTTCTACTATTGACTAGTTACTCTCTACTGTCACAGACAAACAAATCTATTTATTTAAACTGGATGCAATTTTTAATAGAAATACCTATTAAAATTTTAATGTATATTCTGCTCATCAAATATAACAGATGTAGGAATACTACTGAAAATAGCTGATATAAAATATGTCAAGAATTTAGAAAATAGGTCCAAATTTTTATTTTCAAATAAAAAAATAATAAGTTATAAAAAACAAATAAGCATTTATGCACATCAAAACAAGGAGCATGTGAAAGGAGAGAAGATAAAGTTTAATCAGAGGGACTGGGGGCAGTCTCTTTGACAAGCTGATAGCAAACAAAATGCTCCAAGGCACATTATTGCCTCCAGTTGAGATCATTGGAGGGTCAAAGCAAGTCTAGGGCCAACAGACAGACAGGATGCTGTAGCGCTGGAGTGGAATGGGGAGCAGAGAGAGCGGTAGGTGTGCCAGGCAGCAGGTCAAGGGCCTTGGCAGCTCTGTTCTAAGCCAAATGCAAGAAGGTGGGGAGTTCAGGAGAGTAGAATCAGGACAGGGTTTACATTTAACCCAGGATATAATTAATAAAAATGCAAGATATGTTCAAATAACAAAACACATTAGCTGTCACATGATAAAAAAGTAACCAAATTAAATTTTAACATTTTGGAGTGATTAAAATAGTTTTTATTAAAAATCATGCATTGCTGGGCATGGAGGCATATGCCTTTAGTTCCAGAACTATGAGAGGTAGAGGGGGTGGATTTCTATGAGTTTGACGCTAGCCTGGTCTACATAGTGTGTTACAGGGCAGCCTGGACTACAATATCGAGATCATGTCTCAAAATAAAACAAAACAAAAAATTATAAATCATTACTACATATTTGCATATTGGGGGGGGATGTGTGTGTGTGTGTGTTTGTGTAGGCAAGTGTGTATCATGGTGTATGAGTGAAGGTCAGGGAATATGTTTTTAAGAGAAGGATCTTTCCTTCCACTTTGAAAAGACAGGTCGCCTTTCTGCTGCTGCACTGTGTACAGCATGCCCGCTGGCCTGTGAGCATGGGGGTGGTACGCCATCGCACTGCAGGAGTGCTAGGATGGCAGATGTGCACCGCTGCATCCAGCTTATTTATACAGGTTCCAGGGTTTAAACTCAGGTCTTAAGTTTTATGAAGAAAGAACTTTTTATTCACGGAGTCATTTTGTTGGCCACTCTTTTTGTTTTCATTTTAATAAACAAGTATCAACTACGAGAAGCATTCCAAATCACTCTGAAAGTGTCCTACCTGAAGTCCCATTTGCTGCATCCCTGGCCTCCTTCCTAATTTCAATGTACTTTTTCTTTCTTTCCATTGGAACCTATTAGGTAAAACAAATACACCATTTAAACTGTTTTAGATTCATGGTCACATCTTTTTTGTTTTAGTAATATTCTAGACCCTCCTCCCATTACTAACTAAAAAAGACATTTTTTTTGTTAAATTTAAAAGTATTCAAAACCATTCATAAAAAGAACTGTGTATGTGTTTTCAAGTCCAGCCTTTCCCATAGATGTCCCCAAACCTAACTGAAACACTTAGCTTGGATATGATTCTCTGCTTGGTGCTTTTACGAGCCTGTATGATTGACAGTTCTCATGTGACCTTTGAGTTGAGTCTAAGCTTTCTCAGCCGTACAGCTATAGCACCTTATTGTGCTTTGCAGGTAACACAGCAAGTGTTCATGCTCAGACAAGCCTGGGCAATTTGCTTTTGTTTTCATTCTTTCAACGCATGCCCAGGGGAAAACATTCTATTTTCATTCCTATTCTTATTCCAAAAAAGCCCATTCCGGAGCATGGATGAGGCACTCTGAGATGGTCAGGTCAACAGCTGTGAGGGAAAAGGACAACCCGTGGATGTACGTTTTGTGCTCTGCCCACTTTCCCACGTGCAATGTGGTGTGAAAGCAGCCGCTGTCATCTTCCCACCCATTGCTGAGGCTGCAAGCAGAGCCTAGATAACCAAATGAATCCCATCTTCTGCAGCAGATCTTCCAGCTCTTCCCCTGACTTCCCAATCCGGGCCAGACTCATCAGTATAAATCTTAATTCCTTTGTCGGAGAAAATGACTCAGAAATCAAATTCTTTTTATTGATACTTTCTTTCACAATCAAGAGAAGGAACAAGTAAATGCTGATGAATGCTGGTACAGTCATGTGAAAGGACACTTGGAATTGCTAGACTTTACAGTTGCCAGTTTTATAAGAACACAAAACTACCTGATTTTGAAGTTGAGAGCAAATGAATACTTAGCATGTTCAAAATAAAACCTGCTTTTTCCCTACAATATTTGATAATATTCTTAATTTAGAAACAAAATTGAAATTTTTACTTACCTCAACTTCTATAGGAAATGCATAGCAACGCTTCAGGTCTATCAAATTTTCAAAAATATACAAGTTCTATAAAAAGAAAAACCTATATGAAAATATCTGACTTTATGAGTAAGAATACAAAAGGGATAATTCTATTCAATAAGTCACAGTAGACTGGGGGTGTGGATCAGTTGGAAGTACTCTGGGCTCTGACGTCAGCAGCATATAGAGTGGTAGGTACCTGTAATCTCTTGGAAGGCTGAGGTAAAAGAATTAAGGCTAAGGTCACTAAGCTACACAGTGAATTTGAGGCAAACCTGGGATACTGAGAAGCTGTCTCATTTCCATCTCCAATTACACACCCCAAAATCGGAGAAGCACTTCAGAGGTAATCCCCTAATACTTAAAACCATAGGAGAGTTGGAAATACGATATAAATTTAATTGGTAAAATTTTAACGGTTGAAATCCTCCAATCCTCCAGTCTCAGTCAGCCATAGGGAACGTCCCTGGGAACACTCACCTTTTCTGGTTTTTCGCTAAACAGAAAACCTTGGTAAAATTTCAATTCATTGAAGACACAGCATATTAGGGAAATGGCACAATTGTATGCAGCACAATGATAAAGTCTTCTCTTCTCCAGCAACTGGCTCTCCCCTGCCATGTTCTCTGTAAAGGCATCATGGCATGACCTGCAGATGAGATCAGGATGAACATCAACTTACTTAATAATGGACGTCGACGTTTGAATCAGTAGCTGTTAATAAAACCTAATTCAATTCCGCTAATCTCAGGTGTCATGATTCTCCCAGCACAGTACTAGGTCTTAGAAATATACAAACAAGCACATTAGCATCTCATAGCACAGGACATGTGCACACATTTGATAACATAGTGTTAAGTGCAACAGCAAGCACACTCAGGATGAAGAAGCAAGAATATGGACCAACAATCTAAGGTGCTAACAAAAGACGTAAGTGAAAAATACCTGAGCTAAGGATTTAATTTGGTTTTTGTTTGCTTTTTAATTGGAGTTATAGAGATTGTTAAGAGAAAGGGTCTCATAGTGTTGTTGAATGGGGCCTTTAATTCCTGTGCCCAAGACCTCCCCTATTTATATAAGAGTCTCAAAAACCACTATGGCCCTCCACATGCATACCACTGTGCATGACTTAAGCTGAACTTTGAGATGTAAGTTGGCTAAAGCATAAATGTACATAGATATTATTAGCAGAGAGGAGGGACACTTAGAAAAGTTCTGTGGCATTATCACAAGGATGTTGATGCAATAAAGGTTTGCAAAGCGAGGGAAAGGAAGGTGTTCTCAGCAGAGTTTACCTACCATACTAAGAGGTGTGTATTTCATCCTGCAGGGTGGGTTCAATAAACCACTCAGATAGCCCCTGTTTTTCAAAGGTTTTCTTGAAACAACCATGCACCTATATTTAGATATAATTTACGGCTTGTTCATAGTATGCTATGAGACCTGCTGGAGACTACATGGCCCACAGACTCAGCAATATCGGATGAGCCCTGCTGCTGAAGACAATAGACTAAATTTGCATCCAGTTGATTATGATTCTGCAGTCGAGGCAACAGCAAAGAAAGACAAGCCTAGCAGAGAAATAATTCAGACTGAGACAACTGTAACACCTTAGAAAGCAGTCCAAGTTAGGACACGATACACAAAAGGGAAAAGATATAAGTGCATTACTTTGAGGAACAATAAAGGATCAAACTGATTACATTTGGCTAACAACTGGGTACTAATGGAGGTTAGGGACAGTCAAATGAAGAAATGAATGCAGCTCCTATGTTTCCTGCATATACAAATGGATAGATGATGATATCATCCACTGAGAAGATAAGGTGTGGACTAGGGTGAGAAAGAAGAATGCATGTCTGAGATGCAAAATGAGACCCGGTAAAGTCTGTCCAATCTGGGAGGACTTCATTAGAAGCCAATTTGTAGAGAAAATATGTTTCATTAGTTTATGCTTTACAGAGAGCTTTTCAATTTCAAATGATAGAAAAACTATAATTTCTTACTGTACTCCATGCTACTGAAATGCATTAATATACTAATCCATTCAGAGGAGAAGTGGTAGTAGGGAAGATGTGAAAGAGTTTAAATCTGAGGCGTTAACTTGCCAGGCAAGCACTACCACAGAGCTCCAGCAGAGCTTCATTCTTTATGCAAGCTAAGTATGCGGCTGACAAGAGCACTCCCAGATGACCTGAGCTCAGCTCCCAGTATATACCAGGAGGCTCCCAACTGCTTGTTGTCGCGTCCACCCTCGACCAGCAAGGAAGGCGCAACACCCAGAGCTCTTCTTGCAGCAGTTTATTCAGGACTTTATTCACAGCCATCTATCTCCTTCTCCTCCTCCTCCTCCTCCTCCTCCTCCTCCTCCTCC